TCAACTTTGAAAAAATGATGATATAAATTTTAATAACTCTAATTGACACTTCAATTCAAGTTCAATGCTAACTAAAATATTAATTTTGTCTTTGGACTTGTGACATAGGGAAGCAGTAGGGCATAAAAGCATCTAACGTAGAAAGTGCGTATTGATTTTTAATCTTCACGCATGATTATGCTTGTAAAATAATTGCCAAAATAATGCTTGTTCAGTTGGGCAATATTTCCCCATGTTTTATCATATGCTTTACCATGCGACTCCATACATTTTCAAGTCAGGTAATATCTTTAATGATAAACTAATATACATCACTTAATAACTAATAGAAGCTCCTATAATTTATCTTGTAATTCAGGAAAAAAATATTAATTTCCAGTAGTTTATTTAATTTCATTGACACGTCTTTCAAAAGTACGTGTAACCAACCTAATTCTGAATGAAGCAAAACATTTATAGTGGAAAACAATTACCTATTATTATGATAATTGGGCGTAAGTCTTTTGCTAAACGCTGGATACGATTGACGGACGCTACTTAGCCCCAGCGCAGCGTGGAATTTAAACCTGGCGTGACTCGTATCAAATATTCGAATCACGCTTGCAATACACTAGTAGTGATAGTATCAGTATCGATAAATTGAATATCAATAAGATGTAGCATGCCAGGCTTGTTCAAACACGTGCAGCCATTCTTTGTAATTTCCTGCCATAAACACATTGGAAGGGTAGTTACGAATTCTTAAAGAACGTAAGAATAATAATTGATGTTTATAAATGTGGCAGTTGTAATACTTTTTTTCTTCAAATGGTGGTCAGAAGTGGAGTTTTTAAAGAAATGTGGACATCAGCTTTTCGTCTATACCTACTAATATAACAAAAAGAAAAAAATGTTTGAATTGAATAGGCTCCGAAACTAATAACATCTATTTCTAGTATTATTATAAAGAGGTAAAATTTGTAAGCAGGGTTTGCCAGACTTCGTGGCAAGGTAAATAATGAGACTGTAGATGGTTAAGGTCTGTTTATTACTTTAATTGCTGGTGCTTATATACTAAGGAGATGCGTGAGATTTTCAGATTTAGCTATCCTAACAAACGTGCAACAATTAACATGTGTGTCTTATCTCTATCGTATCTAAGTAATGTAGCGACGTGATCGTGCCGCTACATATACTCCCCCCTTTTAAAAATAATTAACATATAAATTGAAAAAAATTAGTATGTACCTAATTATATAATAACTTAACCTTGCTGATAAATTACATCCTATGCGTAATGTAATGTCATTGTTGCTAATTCGAAGGAAATAAAAACTGCTGCCTTTGTTGTGACGGCGGCGGCAGTCGATGAACTATCCACTGCATTTGTGCTGATTGTTTCTGCTGATTGAAAATTTTAAATTCTTGTTATTACGAAGTCGTAATAATTCTTGGTCATCATGCTGACATCTTGCTAAATCAGCATAATTAATCGGTGATGGCACATCAATTTGTTCTATCCGTGACAATGCGTCTGCTACAATATTGTCACGTCCTTCTATATGTTGAATGTTGGTACAATATTGTGAAATAAAATCCAGTTGTCGTATTCGCCGTGGCGTATCATTAGATGACGGTTTTTGGGAAAATGCGTAAGTCAAAGGTCGATGATCTGTAAAGATAGTAAATTCTCTTCCTTCGACTAACCTTTGAAAATGTTTGACTGCCATATATATTCCGAGCAACTCTCTGTCGAATGTCGAGTATTTTTGTTGAGTATCACTTAATTTCTTTGAAAAGAATCCTAATGGTTCCCAATTACGTCCTGACTTCTGCTGCAGAACTGCGCCAACACAGGTCGAACTGGCGTCCGTCATAAGTGCCAAAGGGGCGGTGCGAGAGGGGTGAACTGTTAATACTGCGTTCCTTATATTTTCCTTGGTCCTTTAGTGATAATATGATGCTTAATCTTGTGTTTTGGAGTAGTGTGGAGGGAGGCTGGTTTCGTAATATCCTCGTATTCATTTAATAGTTGAGTAATGCGTGGATTCGTCTCAATGTTAATAGTGCGGATTGTTTGCTGCGTCGATTTGATCAGGGTTGCGGGCGTTGTCAGCTCAGTTACCCTATCTATGAGTTTTCGACCAGCTATATCGACTAATAGCTTATAATGCTCTAAAAAATCTGCTCCAATAATCGGTTGTGTTACATCGGCGATGACAAAGTTCCATACAAAGTTTCTTCGTAGCCCGAAGTTTAAAGAGAGTGTTTTTTCACCATATGTCTTAATTTTTGTACCATTGGCGGCATAAAGTATACTTGTTCATCTTGTATTAGTGACTGTCTCTGTGGCTTGCTAATAACTGAAATATTTGCTCCCGTGTCAATCAAAAATCTCATACCACTTTTTCGGTCGGTAATAGTGAGGCGGTTGGACGGGTGAATAGCACAGAGTTCCGCCGTTGTCCGTGCTTCAATTAGTTTCCCTGTTTCCTTGAGTTGAGATCCTGTTTCCAATCACAAGGTTGAACACACTTTTGTGCATATTTTTTAAATCTTCCATGGTAAAAACAAAAGTGCCTTCTTTCTCTTGAACTTGACTGTGGTAGGAAATGCCGACGATTGGAATAACTTTGAGTGCTGCGTCGATAGTTTTTTTGACCTTGCTGAATTGCATTTAGTTCCAATTGCATTTCTGCTAACTGTGCTAGTATGCATGACATTGTATCGTCGCCAGATTTGTTTCCGTTTACAGCTGACACCTCTGTACGTGTTGAATTTATTAATATCTTGTCCGCGATCTGGCTCATCTTGTTCACATCTATGTCTTCTGTGACTGCTAGAACCGAAGTCACTGATGGTGGCAGAAGCCTCAACCATAGAAGTTTGATGGTTTCGTCGCTGATATTTCCGTTACTCAGGGTCCGCATCTTGCGCAGAAGATGTGATGGTTTCTGGTCGCCGAGATCCATTTCAGACAATAATTTTTGGAGCTGACGTTGGTCTGATTCCTCATAGCAACTGATTAGGCGTTCTTTGATAGCCTTGTACTTTTCTATTGGCGGTGGGCAAGTAATGAGGTCACTAACCTGTATTATTTCTTCTTTTGGCAGTTTTGCAATGACCGTATAGTACTTGTAATCGTCTCCTTGCTTCTGTGGTGCTACTATGGCTTCTAGTTGCTTAAACCATAATCTGGGTTGGTCCCTCCAAAATCGGTTCCGGCTGATATCTCCAAGGCTTCTTGTTGGTTGCTGCTTGATTTGCAGGGTGAATGAGTCATGTTGATTGTTCTTCGTCGGGTCACCAATTTGCCAGACTTCGTGGCAAGGTAAATAATGAGACTGTAGATGGTTAAGGTCTGTTTATTACTTTAATTGCTGGTGCTTATATACTAAGGAGATGCGTGAGATTTTCAGATTTAGCTATCCTAACAAACGTGCAACAATTAACATGTGTGTCTTATCTCTATCGTATCTAAGTAATGTAGCGACGTGATCGTGCCGCTACACAGGGCGTAAACTTTGGAACCACTTGCACTTCCAAAATTTTCTTAGTGATAGATAGCTACAATGTGCCTAAGTCCTAAAGGCATAAAGGAACACCCTAAGACCAATAGCAGCCGAGCAGCGGGTGAACTAGCGGCAGTGGCTAGTTTCTAATAAATCCCAAGTGATGGGAGATACAATATCGGGGGAAAATTCCGGTAACGCTTTGCTCGGACCAAGAGCAGATAGCAGCTATGAACGTGTCATCCGATGAGGCAAACAGCTTGCGTCTCCATTCTTGCCTATATATTGACGGTCTTGGATCTACGTTGCCTATATTTTTATCATGAACAAAGCGGCCACATACCTCGTCAGTAAGCATACGGCAGGTGAGAACTCCCAGCGACCACCAGTCCACAGCATGTCCATATGGCTCCCGAGACAGGACCTCTGGGGCTGTCAACAATATAAAGCGGTTTAAACGATAAGAAAACGTCACATACCTATTACTAAGTATTTTTTAATGATGAGCGGAGAGAGAACAATTGGGACTTCATAAGCTTCAGTATCCTTTCATATACATAGTTTTAGTAAGTGCCTGTTTCACCGTCAACATACCTACATATTATGTAGGTACACGATAAACTTATATATAGAATAATCAAACCGGATAGATAGAAATCTAACTACAGGAATGGTTTAAGCGTTGTAGAGCAGTTACACTATCAATTAACATGAACTGCGAAGCCTTATTTGTTACGAGATAGAGGTGAGATTTAGTTTTTTTGATTGAACAGAGATGCATTTCGTCTTAGACTTTGAAGACTCAGTCAGTTATACAGACATCCACGAAGCGCCCAATACAATAGTGACTGAAAAACCAGCGGTAGGTACTTAAAAACAGCCGGGGTTGCGGGGCAAGCGCAATAAGGCACCGCGGCCTCGGCCAAAAGGAACGGTGGTCTTTTAGACAGTAAGTCCCTCTCGCTCCTAAGCGGGAGAAGTCATTTGATAATTTTTCCCTCACAAAAAGAAAAAAACCTAATAAAAAGAACCATTCACACTTCTTGTGCTCTACGCGACAGTCATTCCTCCATTCATTCTTAAGTCAAAATAAAAATTAATAATAATAATAATAAAACAATATAATTACGTTCACATGGAAGGAACTCCTTGAAGACGTGAAGCACAGGAAGTCCAAGTCATATTCCACTTTTTAATTAAAACCACACAAAGCAACCGAAAGATATTAAAAACTCCTTGTAGCGTGTAGCTATACTCAAGAATTCTATTGTCAACCGATTTTAGTTTTATGGGTAAATAGTTTATAGTATGTTTTAATTCAGTGTCGACAGAAACGTTAAGTATTGTAGCTTTATATTTTAATTTATTTTCGTCCGTAACTACAACCTTTTCTTAATGTAATTGTTCAAAGTAAAACATTCAGTATACGTAGGTACATGTGTAATCAAAACTGAAGTACGGAATCGAGGGTTTGTGTATGTCCATTTACTTAAAAAAGAAAACAAAAGTCAATACTTCATCATTTATTCACTTATATATAAATTATATCACAAGACTAAGATTTTTACTTTTTTGAACTTATACATCACAACATATATATTTCCTGTTTCATTTATCATAAACTCTAATATGTAACAGCCGTTATTACACGCGATTCGTGAATTTCATAGTTTCTAAGACATCTTTAAATAAGGCCATAGCGAGGGTGCAGTGACATAATATATTTACTTAACATGTGCTCGGCATTCGGGATACCACTATCACTACACGAGGCACACCTCCAAGGTATCTGAATTAAATATATTGTCGATATCACCAGAGTTTCTATATTTTAGCATTTTGGAATCATTTCAATCGTAAGGTACTCGCTGATATGAAAATTACAAATGGATTACACAATAAATATTATATGATAAAATCTTTGAGTAAAAGATAATGTTACGCGTGCACTGTCGATATTTCTTCATATATTTCGTAACAGCATATAATCGCCATTGCACACGAACACGCTATCTTTTAACATAATTGTGAAAATATTTAAAAGAATTTGTATTGTAAGATCGCAAAGCCTATTGCTACGGGATAAACCCGAGCAAAAAAATAAAAATCTAAAACTAGAAATTAAACAACACTCGTTTAAAACAATATCAATTTATTGTTTAAAACTACACAAAAAACAAAAAAACAAGGCGTGGGTCCTACGCCTACTTGGTGGCACTGTCACTGATGAGCGTTTACACTAATAAAAATATGGGTATATACGAGACGTGGTTGGCGGTGTTGGTGGTGGCCACTTAACTATGGCATGAGGTTGAGGCGCATGCCGGTGCCGCTATCCCAGTCCGGGTACGACGTGGCGGCTATAGGGCATTGGCACGGGGCCAGGCCCTTGACGCTCGCCATCTCCAGGTTTCCACTACACACGGGGTTCCTCAACTCCGTACATGGCTCTTAAATTCGACAGAGCCTTTCAACTCCGTCCGTGGTTGCTGAGCTCGACGGGGTTTTTTAACTCCGTACAAAGTTCCTGAAACCGCCAAACAGGTAGGGTGTAGTCCACCGTTGTCCCAGAATGTCCTGGTGACCACCGACCAAATCCTATCACAGGGCCCTACGGTCGGTTGGTCTTTTACAAGGGTGGAAAATTAAAATATAAAACAATAAAATTATCTCACAAAATAAAAACCATAAAATAATAAAAGAGGTAGGTAGTGAGAGATAATATTAAAACCCTACTGTTGGTTTTCAGATCAATTTAAAGGTGATAAAAATACAACATAATTAAGTTAATTGATTTGGTACAAAAGAAACCAGATCAATCATTAATAGAAAATCATCCACCCTCAGAAACTGCCATGGCGTGTCATACTTTAAATTCGGAAAAGACGGTGATCGTTCTTTCCTTAAGGCGAAATTATATAAAAAATAAGAATAGGACACGCCACGCACAGGTTCAAGATGCGACGAAACAGGAATTAAAACCGAAATAATACAGGATTCGTGTCATGACAAGAATGAGAACTAGAATAAAATTATATGAATATACCCTCACACGAAAATAATAAATTCCAACAATTAAATATTATACTCGTTTCTTAATCATGAACACGGTACACATAACTTATTTAACAAATAGATTTGACGAGAAACCCCATGATAGTTTATAAATGTAACCGTTACTAACGGCACAATTTAAATTACAAAATATAAAACCGAAAAAATCTAAATACAAGTATTTACAGTCACTATGCCTGACTTACACATTTAAATATAAATCTGTGCAACAACACTTACCCTTTGCAGGGAACCACGGAAACACTGAATTTAAATTATTAAGCCTAAAATTGGCTTCTGCGAAAATTATGCAACACAGTACACGTTTGTAGGTCGGCGATCAGGATTCCAGAAGAAAGGAAAGATTCTACTCGAACCCGCCTTATAAGAAAATTGCATTTCATAGACAAGTGTAGGAGGCAGAGACACATATCTACTTCTTTTTAATTATCTGACCTCAAGGCTAACAATCCGCGGGCGATTATCCATTAATAAATAAATTAAAACGATTACCCGCTATTATTGACAAAATTATTTCATCTACCGCACATTGATTTTATTATCGATTGGGTGAATCTATAATCTGTGAAATGACAACTGACGTTGACATTTCACGACAAGCGTAACGTCACTTAGATGTGAGGTTTGACACTTTGCAAAAACAACAAACACAACATTATTGTGAATTTAAACAATTAAAATTACATCCAATTATGTTATTTGGAATGCAAAACGGAATGAATATCAACTGAATTAAGGTAGGTCCCAAGTCTAAGGTTTACAACGTTACAAATACCCCCCTTCCCGAGCAAAGGATTTTACGTAGTAAAATCCGCGCGAAGGCTCTAAATAAGCGATAGTAACTGCTCAACTTTCATACTTCTCCTTTCAAAATACCAATCAAACGAGTCTAATGAAATATAAATTAAAAATCAAAAGACAACCTAACAACAATAGAGATACAGACATAACAATAACATGCTGCACTCAAACAGAAACTAAGATGATTATATGTACCGGAGGGAAGGATATCTAACATGTGGTATAGAGAATGACCTAAATTGAAAATGTAGCAATAGACACTTGTTAAGTTTCAGAGTCACGACCCGCTCTTAATGCGCAAAACGCACAAACAAACAATCCCATAGCTCAAAAACGAATATGGCTTATTTAACGAGTTTCAAACCGCTCGTGACAAAAGGCTTATTTTGAGAGTTGTCAAACCGCTCTAACAAACAGCTAGGGACGTTATACAAAAAAGTCCTTGACCTACATAGAGGTAAACAAGGCAAAAAAAACTTCCCACCTATAACCAGGTAAAGGAACAACCAAAAATCCCAAAACGTGTAGGCTTATTTACTTAACAAATATCAAATTAAAACATGTAACAATTATAGGTACTAGTAGCCACAAAAGGTGTTAAAGCTTGGTTCCAAAATCCAAAAAAAAAAATTAATGAATTGAAGTTGTTTAGTCCAGATGGGGTAGAACAAAGAAAAAAAATTAAAACAATAATATTCAGTGTAAAAACACCCTACATTGCATCTAGTGCAATAACAAAACGTACCCCACCATAAAAACAGCCGCATTCTATACCCTTAAGCTTAATTTCTTAAGGTAAGAAGCGACCAGTACAAAAAAACATACATACCACAACACGAAACGTATTTTTCGAATAGGTTTCGGTTTGGTTAAACTACGACTAAACAATTCATACAAAATATCATTCATTAAAAACTTGAAATATCAATTAAAGAAGTCTACCCATAAAAAATTGAAAAAAATAAATAAATTAAAAATCAAATTAAAGCAATACATATATATTTATACGCGCGACCTACAATGCATATGTTGCACTACTGTGTGTGTGTGTTGCACAGAATTAAAAATTAAAAACTTACCCCGCCTTCAAAAAAAAAAAATTGTTGAAGGTAGAAATATAAAAAAAAAAAAAAAACGTAAAGGCCCTGGGGAACGTAAAGGTCTATTTATGTGCTCCAGGTGTGCCCAGTAGTTAGATCCGAGCCCAGTCCCAGAACAATATAGGAAAGGGGTGGTACCTCTCGGTTCGAAGCCGGCACAGGCTTCTACCACAGTTACCTATAGCCCTGGGGAACGCAATGGTGTTGTGCCCCAGGTGTGCCCAGTTGTTAGATCCGAGCCCAGTCCCAGAACAATATAGGAAAGGGGTGGTACCTCTCGGTTCGAAGCCGGCACAGGCTTCTACCACAGTTGCAATTCCAACACCAAAAAATTAAAAGAGAAAAAAAAAACAAAACCACCGACCACGCTCAAAACGCCAGTGACAGCCCACCAAAGTAATTCAAAAAATCCACGGTATGGGCGCCATTTGCTACGGGATAAACCCGAGCAAAAAAATAAAAATCTAAAACTAGAAATTAAACAACACTCGTTTAAAACAATATCAATTTATTGTTTAAAACTACACAAAAAACAAAAAAACAAGGCGTGGGTCCTACGCCTACTTGGTGGCACTGTCACTGATGAGCGTTTACACTAATAAAAATATGGGTATATACGAGACGTGGTTGGCGGTGTTGGTGGTGGCCACTTAACTATGGCATGAGGTTGAGGCGCATGCCGGTGCCGCTATCCCAGTCCGGGTACGACGTGGCGGCTATAGGGCATTGGCACGGGGCCAGGCCCTTGACGCTCGCCATCTCCAGGTTTCCACTACACACGGGGTTCCTCAACTCCGTACATGGCTCTTAAATTCGACAGAGCCTTTCAACTCCGTCCGTGGTTGCTGAGCTCGACGGGGTTTTTTAACTCCGTACAAAGTTCCTGAAACCGCCAAACAGGTAGGGTGTAGTCCACCGTTGTCCCAGAATGTCCTGGTGACCACCGACCAAATCCTATCACAGGGCCCTACGGTCGGTTGGTCTTTTACAAGGGTGGAAAATTAAAATATAAAACAATAAAATTATCTCACAAAATAAAAACCATAAAATAATAAAAGAGGTAGGTAGTGAGAGATAATATTAAAACCCTACTGTTGGTTTTCAGATCAATTTAAAGGTGATAAAAATACAACATAATTAAGTTAATTGATTTGGTACAAAAGAAACCAGATCAATCATTAATAGAAAATCATCCACCCTCAGAAACTGCCATGGCGTGTCATACTTTAAATTCGGAAAAGACGGTGATCGTTCTTTCCTTAAGGCGAAATTATATAAAAAATAAGAATAGGACACGCCACGCACAGGTTCAAGATGCGACGAAACAGGAATTAAAACCGAAATAATACAGGATTCGTGTCATGACAAGAATGAGAACTAGAATAAAATTATATGAATATACCCTCACACGAAAATAATAAATTCCAACAATTAAATATTATACTCGTTTCTTAATCATGAACACGGTACACATAACTTATTTAACAAATAGATTTGACGAGAAACCCCATGATAGTTTATAAATGTAACCGTTACTAACGGCACAATTTAAATTACAAAATATAAAACCGAAAAAATCTAAATACAAGTATTTACAGTCACTATGCCTGACTTACACATTTAAATATAAATCTGTGCAACAACACTTACCCTTTGCAGGGAACCACGGAAACACTGAATTTAAATTATTAAGCCTAAAATTGGCTTCTGCGAAAATTATGCAACACAGTACACGTTTGTAGGTCGGCGATCAGGATTCCAGAAGAAAGGAAAGATTCTACTCGAACCCGCCTTATAAGAAAATTGCATTTCATAGACAAGTGTAGGAGGCAGAGACACATATCTACTTCTTTTTAATTATCTGACCTCAAGGCTAACAATCCGCGGGCGATTATCCATTAATAAATAAAATTAAAACGATTACCCGCTATTATTGACAAAATTATTTCATCTACCGCACATTGATTTTATTATCGATTGGGTGAATCTATAATCTGTGAAATGACAACTGACGTTGACATTTCACGACAAGCGTAACGTCACTTAGATGTGAGGTTTGACACTTTGCAAAAACAACAAACACAACATTATTGTGAATTTAAACAATTAAAATTACATCCAATTATGTTATTTGGAATGCAAAACGGAATGAATATCAACTGAATTAAGGTAGGTCCCAAGTCTAAGGTTTACAACGTTACACTATACAGCCTCATCTTTGGTGACGAAATAATTCTGATAAATATTTTGTAGGTACAAGTGTGATTAGATAGGCCTACAGACGTGATACACTAAAGCTAGAGTCACAAAATGAGGTAGGATAGTAAATCAGAATTGTATGGATGGACTCAGTTCACAGTCCTCTAGAAAACAAAACGAAAACTAAAAGCAATTTGACTCTGGCATGAAAACATACATACGTGTATTGTAGTAGGTAGGTAGCAAAAAGTTATCCTAAAATATGTTCTGTTGCAAGTCATGGATTCATATGTTTACTTTGACGACACCCAGTCAGAGAATTCGACAATAAATTATTAAGACTTTCAACAGGACATCGCCAAAGTAAATATATAGCAAATTAAGTATTAGAATTATAAGAAAAATGACATTACAATTTAATTTGATTATTCATCTCACCATTACTTAACACTACATGAGAAGTTCCTCGCACCGCGCCTACCCTAACATTTTTACACAATACATGGAACAATCGTTGATCACCTAGATCTAGAACATTCTATACTGATAAAGCTCTCTCAACAAACCACTTGGAACTATTCGAATACGTGAACTGACTACTATACTATCAATGCAAATATTTACAATATTTATAATACACATTCATAGGATTACTGACAATATATAACTACTTAAGTCGTAATATCTATTATTTAATAATATATATCAATCTTCATTACATTCAGACACGTCATCGAAATTCAGTATATTTTTACATTTTTCTTTTAAATATTCAAGGATTATTCTCGGCGATATATCACAAAGCGATCATTTAAATATAAGTGAATAGTCGAATGACCACTTTAATAGAATCCAGCGACTAAACACACAAGCGTTAGTACTAAAGAATATAAACATTTAGTGCCACCTCATCAACAAAAACTCAAGTGTTTATTACAATTCATTAAAAAATCTAAATATTACTTACACAATCAAATTTCTAGGTAACTATTATTTCTACGTCAAACTTCTGTGAATGCTTGAGAAATCACTCTATATTAAACCTTACTAATAAACAACAGACGAATCCAAAGCTTAAATAAACGATAAAATGAATGGACACATTAACCAGCCTTCCGAGTCATAGCTCTGATATTACAACTAAAGTTACAAACTAACATTACAACAGACAAGGTTCCATTAAATAAAATATTATTAGTAAATGACGACGCGACGCGACGTCTAGTAGAGGCTCGGCTCATCCTAGCAGAGGGCCTACTTACTCTAACTACTGCAACCATCTCATTGTACATAATACATACAGAATAAGCTGGAACTTGTGATACACCTACACGAACGCGAAACACAAAAGTTTAATACAAGCTAACAATCAGTAATAAAGCTGATACATAGTAAAGTTACACAAAACATTGATTGCAACGATAAACTACGACACACGTTTGTGCAACAAACAAAGCGTAAGTACAATAAATGACACAGATAATAGATTCTGATGTTTGTGTATTGTCAAAACGTCGAATACAGTGTTATTAGATAAAACAATTCATTCTTCATTATGATTATTATATACACATGTCCATAGTAAAAATAAATCACACATTTCAATTTTTAATATTCAATAAAATTATATATCGCGACAGACAATGGCGCGGAGCCATTTGTTTCAACATTTTTAGATTGGTGTGAGATAGATCACATCAAGGCGCGTATAACATGCTTCATACATAGCTGCGCGTGACAGCGCGATGGAGCTGGCGGACAGGCGGGCGGGCAAGCGGACGGGCTCAGCCAGCATCACAACGATAGAGTGTCGCGGATGAGCTTGCGCACTGTGTTGCCCACCGAGGTGGGGGGCGCGCCCGACAGGTTGTAATGTATCTTGAACAGGTACGGCTGGATGTCCGAGTAGGACGTGTCGAAGATGAGATCTGCGTCCGAGCGGCTCGGCATCTTGGGCACGTACTCGTGCCGGTTGATGATCTCAGTGATGAAGACGATCTTGTCCTGCAACATCTCCACGACGTTCTCGTGCTTGCTGTGCACGTCGTGGTCGGAGCGTGCCAGCTCGCAGTACACGGTCCACACCTCCCAGGGCACGCACTCGGGCTGGAAGGGCCATCGCGCGCGGCGCTTCTGGAAGAACTCGAGGCTGATGGAGCCGCGCGGCGGGGACGAACTCGCGTCCAGCCCGCGCAGCAGCTCGGAGAAGTCTGAGATCTCGCGCTTTACACTGCGACCGAGCGCATCGGATTCGCAGCATACGTACGTAAAGTCTATAAAGTCACAATCCACATCGACGTAGCTGACGGTGCGGATGGAGTAGCTCTCCTCGTTATTGTAAGTGAACTTGCCGCTGGAGCGGTGGAAGAGGACGGTGTGGAAGATGCAGGCGACGACCTCGTCCACCTGCCTGCCCTCCATCGACAGCTCGAAGGCGATGGTGCGAGCGTTCATGGTGCCGGCGTCAGTGGGCCGCCGGCATGCTGGCTGTGCGGGCGACGGTTACTGCTGCGCTCCCTGCCTCATATACGCTACGGATAACGAGCGAGCGATGCACTCAGCCATTTTTTAAATTATCAAACGAGTCAACTCCCACACTGAAATGGAGAATGACCGTTTTAGTTTTCGCGTCATTTAAAACTATCTTACTTAATTCAATTCGGGTTCGTATCTCTTGAATATGTTTAACCTAAATACTAAAACCGTACAACAATAAAGAACCAATTTCCCTATTAATATTCTAAAACATTGCATAGAAATGAACTTACCCATATATTTGAGCGTGCCGCAGAGTGTGGTGGTGCGCGATCCGATGGAGAGCCACTTGGAAAGTCCGAAATCGATCAATCGAATGTGACAGTCTGAGTCGAGAAGAATGTTCTCCGGCTTCAAGTCTCGGTATATTACTCCAGCGTTGTGAAGGAAATCTGGAAACATTTAATACAAGTATTTATTTAACGAAACATAAACCAATCAGAAATGATGCTAGCAACTGTTGCATGTACTTTAAGGCATTAAAAAACATAAAAATCATATCAGGACTTGACAGAACTGGTGACGGTTGATTTTTAAAAACTTGCATCTTTATATAAAAACAGTGCCGTCTATTTCAAAACTACGTAACTCAATACATTTCAATAAGTGACAAAATTTCCGTTGTATTGAGGGACTAACAAAGAGACACTGATTTTACTCATTGATATGTCATATGGTCAATTTATTGGTTTAATAAATAATTCGACTTGGAATATACGACTTCGGATATATATTCTAGCACAAGCGTTTACGACATGCACAATTTGTCGTAGTGAGGATACGTTCGAGCTTTGTTTAATTTTTCATTACTTTTGAAGTTAGTAGACATAAAGAAAAGGAATTTGTCTTAATAATTAACCTCTGATTCGGTGTATGAGATACAATTTGATTTACAAAAACATTATGACAAAGTTTGATTTAACGGATTAAATTAAACGTCAATTTTGTGCATTGTTCGTGCCGGGAATAATATTGAATTACAAAGTGAATTTATAAAAGTAGGTTATAATTATAATGAACTCACCAATAGCAACAGCAATTTCAGCGACAAATATTTTGACGAGTTCTTCAGGTAGCTTGCCGTACTTGTCCAGAAGAGCTAATAACTCGCCTCCGGGAATGTATTCTGAAACTACACATGAAATATTGTCAATAAAGATTTAATTTTATATTAATTACGAAGAATAGGCATTTCTATATCGATTGCTTGGTCTAAGAACCGTCCTTTGACCCCAAGTACAAGAAGTCGAAATAAGTCGAAAGCCCCTCTCCTCTCTTTCTTTTATTATATCTATCCTCCTTTTTTGCGAGGGGGGGGGGGGGAGCGGATCCATCAATAACTGAGTGTTATTCTAACTGCCTAAAAAACACCCCGTTCCTTCTCCAGACCTCTTGCGCCCGCAACCCCGGCTGAACGTCGGTCCTATTAGGCCCCATCTGTGGTCTAACGGACTGGATACGTTAGAAAACAATCATGAAAGACAACCTTATGCAGGCTGTGTTAGGGTTCCAAGAAGATAGCATGAAATACTTTATTACGCATCATTCAGAATTATCTCGGTAACCCAGTTCAAATTACTTAATCGATAAGCGACCTCGATCGATAAAATAAACAAACAACATAAACAATAAATTTAATTTAATATATGCGAAAAAGACAAAGTCTAAACACATGTACATAGTACCTACACATACATTTAAATAGGATACGAATAGTGTAATAAGGTCTATCCTTTTACAAATATAGTAAAAGCGAGTTACGATGTTTGGATGTTTGTTACTCAATGACGCCAAAACGGCTGGACGGACAAGGATGAAATTTGGCGAGGGCATAGGATACATTCCGGACATAGGCTAGACTTTTGGCGAGCCACGGGTGGAAAATAGTATACCATAACTGTCAAAAATAGGTGTACATTAGCACAAATCTATAATCTCATTTGAGGAATAAAAGACGCAATGAAACATTACATAAAATATTATCCAATAATTGTTTACATTCATCCAAAAGGTCTATTCTAAACCATTTGGGGCATTTTATTATCGGTATCACGTCGAGTGCGTTAAAAGTTCGACCTCACTGGTAAAAATCTCTTTAGTACGAATGACTCGCAAACAACAAAATAAACATAGCCGATAAAAATCCGGTGTATTGTTGTCATAACGCGTTTTATCTCGAACAATCACCTTTATTAATATGTCGGGTGTTATCTGTCAACGGTAATCTGATGACACTTCCTGCCGACGAATTTACTCTTTCGAGTCATAAAATACGGACCATAATACTGAACGCATGCAGGAAAAGCTAGAAGATGTTCGCTCGCAATTTCATTCATGTGAAATTTTGTCATTGCAAGTTCAATCTTAAAGTTAATGTAATAAATAACGGTTTAAAGCAACGATACATCAAACATCACACGGAACACGAGCGTTTTATAGTTTTTATGTGCTAAAACCACCGATGACTTCAGCTAATTACCATTTATAGTGATTGATAAAGTCAAAGGGTTAATGATGTTGAAATGTCTTATTTTTTGTGTTATATTCTATACTGTGAAATACCCCAGTACAGTTCGAATGTGAATGTACAAAAATGAATCTTACTTCAATAGTAATAAGGTGCTTTTAAATTCATGTAGCAATGTTTTGTTGACATTCGCCTATTTTTCGTGGCAACGGTGAGCTAATATAATCTAGTTTGAACGGCTAATTGGGTCGTCCTGTTGGATTTGAAGAGGGACAATGGCGTTCAACGGGCGAGTGTCCGTGACATCCCTGCGGACTATATTTAGAGTGTAAGATAATGCAATCACCCAACTACTTAGTGATTATCACAGTTGTCGCGTGTGACTCGTCTACGTACATTCAACTAACTTATGTTGCAAAATGGCAACATAGAAAAGTTACTTTTGAATTTGATTAGAATTTTCTTTTTTTTATTATTAATTTTTCTATTATGAGGATGATGTGGTGTAACCGTGGTATAAGTAACATTGATGCGCGTTTGTGTGTAGCATTAACAATAACAAACCTGTACTTTAACATTAACCATTTTAGAATTTGTGAGTCTATACTAATATTATAAAGAGGTAAAATTTGTAAGTTTGTAAGTTTCTATGTAGGGGGTAATCTTTGGAACCGCTGCTGGTCGGATTGCCAAAATTCTTTCACTGATATTTGGCTACAATTTTCCTGAGTGTTACAGGCTATAAAACATTTCGCTACTATTGAATAGAGCTGAGCAGCGGGTGAAACCACGCGAGAGTAGCTAGTTTCCTAATTCCAAAATTCCAAACCTTTACACTTTTTAGACTGGTATCTTACTAAATTAAGTCTAGCCTCTTTCACACATTTTATTTGAAGACATTTTCACTATTTTCATGATTTCGATCGCTTTTATAACAATCTTTACCCAAATATATGCCTTTCATTCACCTTACGTGCTGTTATCATATTTTGACTTTTTGATAAAACATAACAGTCATAACGCAATACGTCGTTTGTTATTCTGATTAGCTATCGTCTGCTACGAAAGTATTTTATAAAAATCAAGGACCCGGACGACCGTAACCTAGATAGCAATATAATTTTCTTCCCAGGATAAGATAAGGGAGAAAATTTTAAACACATTTATGTACATAAACAAGTCATTATTAAAAATATCTTTTAGATCATCGATATGGGGTAATATTATAAAGAAATGTCTTTTCAAAATTACATAAGTATATGACACTAGCTATTCCCGCGCAGTTTCACTCGCTGCTCAGCTCCATTTGATCGTAGCATGATGTTTTATAGCCTATAGCACTCAGAAACATTGTAGCTATCTATCAGTGAAAGAATTTTGGCAATCCGACCAGTGCAGCGGTTCCAAACATTACCCCCAACTTACAAACTTTACCTCTTTAAAATAATAAATAAATAATTTTAGTATAGAAGTATAGATAAATGACACAGCATCTTTACGTTAAATAATCATCACATAGGTCTTTCACACAGGCACGACTGTCTGCTCTGTGAATTTATGTTTACAAACACTATCCCGGAACTTTGACTCATATTTGTTTACACGTCAAGTGAAAACTGTAGTACGTGTATCGTGCACGGGTTGGCAATTACTGGCATTCAAGTCCATTATTGTACCATAAGGAATACCATTGCGTCTTGAAATAGCGAGTCGTATTTACAGATTATATTTTTTTTAATTTTCTTCATGGCCTTTATCCTTTATTTAATATGATGCGTGTATGAAACACTAGAGATACTTTCGCGCTCGCTACGGATCTCAGCGTGATGTTTTATAGCCTAGCCTTCATTGATAAATGGACGCACACACAAAAATAATTATTCAATTCGAACCAGCGGTTCCGGCGATTAACGCGTTCAAACCAACAAACAAACGAACTCTACAGTTTTATAATATAAGTATAGATTTGAAATTTTATAAGGTAAGTGTCTCATGTTCTACTGCGTTCTAAGTACTTGGTCTACTTGCCAATATAAAGTCTTTTCTTGGTCTGCCAACGAGCCACAGCGCCCGCAATAAAGGAATGATGACCACACGCCGCTTGAATGCGAGCTTCCTCCTTCACCTGACGCACTGCACTCTCGTTCACTATCTGAAATTATTTATATCACAATTTTACATGCGACTGATTCGGTCAAATAATATTATCGTAAGAGGGGAAACCTGCCCGATAATATATGATAATATATCGAGACACATAATAACTATACTATAACGGGAAACTTGAACTTGCAATTACTACAACTTACAATATAGAATCAAAATAAAAGTGCAGCCAGGGGTTAACAACCTAGTATTCTAGAAGTGTGATCGTTTCAAAACAGGTTTTGAAGTAAACAAATAATGTTTCTGTAGTGGAGTTATCATCTATGTCAGGCATACAATGTGAGGAGCACGCGGCGTTGTGATGGCCTATGCGTGTGTCATAGTCTCGCGATAGGGAAGACCGTTGCGTTCCGCACGACCGCTGTCGCATCGTGGATCCGCCACCTAATTACTACACCTATATTATCTGTCCTAACGCTACCATCAATAACAGCTATCGCATATAAAGTAAATATTGCTAATTCATCACAAATCAGTATAATAAACACTAGCGTTCCAAAGCAGAGGTAAACGTACTCTAATGTACTTTGATCGAACAACTATACGATTGGTTTAGTCAAACTAGTTATTCTTCTTCATAATATTATTAAATAGCTACATACCTACTTAAGAATTACAGGTTGATCGCAACTGGCGAAATGCCACAGAGTATGCAAAAAATTGTGAACATTACATCATTTGTCGAGAAGTTTTAGAATCAGCGATCGAAAAGCTGTCACGAATTCGCTCGGTACAACACGAGCTAGCGCCAACGAGACTTGAAAGTTTATTTAAAAATCTGCAGTGGCTTCATCGTTACATTACTATCTAGACCTAGTACATTGGACACGAGTAATTTATTATACTTATACAATGTATCTACAGATTGCAGTATATACCCTTTAAAATCTCGTGTATTTAGCTTATAGAACTTAGTGCACGTGCGTTTAGTGCGATGCATTAAAGCCACGAGTTCCTGAATAACTATAAACGTCTACGACGAAATATAGACGCATTTAAGTATTCGACTGAAAGCTTATCGCTGCGTGGAACTCATTTTAGTGGTAATAACTTTACATATAGGTCAATGTGATAAGGAGATCGCGATAAAAGCGCCTGAGTAACTAATAAATGCATATCTTTTTCACTTTCAAAACATCAATAAATCACAGATATTAATGAATTTAAGTAAACTTTCTACCTTCTTTTTCTTTGATCAATAAAAATAGCTTAAACCACTCGATAACCTTTTAGAAGCCATTTACTTTTGTATAGTATGATCTCATCAGTATCTATATGTAGTTACATCCTAATCAGAGTTAATTAACCTAAGCAAAACCTATATAATCTGTGGCTACTAGTTAACATGGCAACACCGTTTTGGAACACTTGAAAAAATTCAAATAGATTCATATTTAGAAAAACAAACAGATAATATTATTTGAACGACTATGTTACAGTAGAGAGCGCACACTTATAATAGTACATTACATCATGTTACGTTTTTTTCCGCATGTTAATAAAAAAATCCTTTTTTACAATGGTATCTACTGGCAATTATAACGAGTTGTATTGTAGGTCAGTTACTCTACTCCATTGTACATTTGAACATTATACTGATAATGTAATCAGACAATCCATGATTATAAATTATCATATGCGTGGTTTTTTCGCTGATTATAAAACACGTAATGTACTCGTCATTTCACGAAACGTGGCGTGTAAAAACTTCTTAAAAATTCATCATTCAAAATATTCTACAAAATAAAGGCGATACGACCATGCAACATTGGACAGTCTCCTCAAGCATAAGTACAAGTCCCTACCTGACCTAACTGCACAGTTGATAAACTGTTTATGTCAATATGATAGAAATCAAGTTGTGATTTTAGAGCTGCATAAATACCTTATCTAATGTGTCAAGGAATATTATGATTTCAACAGTCAATGTCTGGTCTAAGTTTTGTTTTACTGTCTGAATAAATTAGGTTAAGGGCCTGTTTCACCACCCTCAAGTAAAGTGTCGAGTAGGCTAATCGCCAGTTAAAGTGACCCGTAACTTCACGTGCGAGTTTCACGACGTTCGAGTAGCACTAATCATAAGATTAACTGACCCGTAACTTACTTGCCGCGTCTTCTGCCAATTAGCGTGCTTTACTCGACGATTAAGTATTGTCTGTTGTCTTTTCTTGCATCACCAACGATTATTTTAAAATAAACGAATAAAAATGGATTTATTTGATTTAATTGATCATCAGTTGGATGAATTAGAACATTCTTCGACGCAACGAATAGCGAGGATTCGTGTATTTAAATTCCGTGTTGATTATTTTACGGACCTGGATGAAACTGATTTTTTCGCTAGATTTCGTCTATCGAAATATGCAGTGAACCAAGTGCATAACTTTATTAAACATAAAATAATGCCTAAATCGCAAAGGTGAGTGGTATTTTTTAATTATTCAAGTGATTTTACCTAAGATAACCTATCAAACCATATTAATCCCTCCTATAATTTGAAGTACCTACCTACTTATGTGTTCTGTTACCTGTTGATTGAAGTAAGTAGGTGCAGTTAGTAGGTACATTATAAAAATCTTTATTTCAGAAATCAAGCAGTTCCAACAAAAACAAGCCTACTATTAACGTTGAGGTATCTCGCTACTGGATCCTATTTAAGAAGTGCGGCTGATTTTTGTGGAGTCAGTCCACCAACAGCGGCGGGGCAAGACCTAAATTTGATGTGGGCAAGACAGATTTCGCGAGGCCCTGTTCTATGGCGACCCAAAGACGGATTTTATAAAATAATAAAAACAAACAAAACAATTAACACTGCCAAGTTTTTATCCAGAAAAATACAAATTAGGTTAATAAGTATTAATGAAAAATTACAATTCGTAAATATAAAGGTGGAGATATACATTTCTTAGCGTAAATATACTTAAAATTAATTAGTGTTCTTTATTAAAGGAACAGAAATTTCCTGCTTTTAACTTTACTAAATTCCTTAATTATGGTATCGTAATTCAGCCTAGATGCCAAGTCTGATTCAATTGATAAAACGGCCAAAGCTAAAAGTCTTTCTTGGTTCATTGTGTTTTTCAAATATTTTATTAATTTTAATTTAGAAAAACTTCTTTCAGCAGAGGCTGTACTTACCGGAATTGTTAATAAAATTCCGATGACAATGTAAATATTTGGGTAAATTTCTTTTAAGTTATTTTCTGTTATGTATGACAGCAGCTGTTTCACGTCTTTAAAGAAGTTGGGTAAATTCAGGATCATTGTATTTAATTCTTCATATAATTCAAATGGTTGGAAATCACTGCCCTCACCCACACGCAGGACGTTATGTAAATCGTTACAGTGTTTTAATATTTGCTCCTGCGGCATATTTTTTAGCGCGCTTAAATCATAGAGAAAACCAAATTCTTCAAAATGTTGATTTAAAGACGTAAATCTTAATTCCATATTGGTTATTATAGAATCAATCATGGCGTGAAAAAATCAGTTTGATACGTTTGAGACTGTATAGGTTGATCGCTGCTTTCATAATCGAACATCCTTTTCTGTTTCCCGATACTCTTTTTAAATTATGGCAGTAACGAAAACGATTGTTTTCCTTAAACTACTGATATAAACCTTACGTGACAGTTATTTTTCAGTAAATAGAAATGTATGAATTAAGATTAAAAAAATACTAAGACTAATAACTGTTTGAGAGAGAAATATTTTAATTAATAACAGTTTTCTTTACTAACATTAATAAAAAAGAAATTAATTTTTCTTAGTGACTGTACATGCGCGACCGTTAGAAAGAGCTAACTTCAGGCCGGTTCATTGTTTCATTGTTTCATTGTACTTTGATTTGATTGGTTGTCTTCCTAGTAAAGAAAGTAAACAAAATAAAACCAGGGATTCCCCGCACGTTTTTTATTTATTTATTAAGGCATTGGAACTCTGGTCGGTCGGCGGCAAATGTTTCTAGCCTAAGAAAACATGTTTCACAACAGTTCTCTCCTAAAAATTATAACAGTTCATAAATTGTCGATTAGGTATTTCAACAAGGAAAATAAATTTTTGAGCTCGATAAGCTCAAAAATGACGCATTAGATAAAATTTAGCGGGAAGTTGCAAGGATAGCCTGTAGGTGAACTGTTTTCCAATTTTTTTTTTTATATTTTTTTTCGCTTTAAAAAATTTCGAGGCGCGAGGCCCCTTGTACCGCGAGGCCGTAGGCGGTGGCCCACGTCGCCCACGCCTTACGCCGCCTCTGTCCACCAACAGCAAGCCGTATCGTTAAGAAGGTGACTGAGGCTATTGCTCAACTACGCACAGTGATAATAAAGTTCCCTGACAACTTAAGCACCCTTCAAGATGGTTTTTATGAAATCGCAAGCTTCCCCAGGGTAATAGGGGCTCTAGATTGTACCCATGTTGCAATAAAGTCACCTGGTATGTTTTATTCTTTAATGTTGTCATGCCAATGTAAGAAAATAATAACTTGGTAATCATTATTTGGGTACATAATAAAATATTAAAATGTAATCCACATCCACTTTTCATTTCAGGAGGCAATTCAGCTGAAAATTATAGGAACAGAAAGTCAAACTTCTCAATTAATGTTCAGGTTGTTTGTGACAGCCAATTAAAATGCTTGGATGTTGTAGCAAGATGGCCAGGATCTGCTCATGATCAGACAATTTTCAATAATTCATCTTTGAAACACAGATTTGAAAGTGGACAATTTAGAGATGGCTTACTTCTTGGTGACAGTGGATATGAGTTAAAGCAATATCTTTTGACACCTTTTCTGAACCCATCATCCCCGGCAGAAAATTTATATAATGAGTCACATATTCGAACAAGGAATACTATTGAAAGATGTTTTGGTGTGTGCAAGAACAGGTTTCCTGTCCTTAGGCGACAGATAACATTAAACTTAGCTCGTGTACAAGCTATAATAGTTGCCTGCTTTGTATTGCATAATATTGCAATTGATGTAAATGAAAGAAACTTTGGGGACAACTACAACTCAACTGATACACAGACTCTGGAAGAAATTGCAGCGCAGAGCCCTGAGCTGAATTATGATCCTAGAAATAGACTGGTGCAAGAATATTTTTTACCATTACTAAATAATAATAGACCCTAAATAAAACAAACAATTTATTTATTTAAAATTGTTTCCTAATTTTAATTTGTAGGTACTCTTCTTCCTTCCATTTGCGCTCCTTTTCTTTAAACTCTGCCTCCTTCTTGCGTTCATTTTCTTCAAATTCCCACACCTTCTTTTTTTCATTTATTTCTGCTTCCAAAAAATCTTTTTGGAGCTGAACTAGTTCCAGCTTAGCTTGAGTCAGCTCATCAAAAAGTGTTTTTTTTCGGTACATTAGCTGTAAATAAAACAATAGTGAAATTAAGTTGAGAAAGAAATTGTACATTTTTATATACATTACAATGCTATTATTATGTCATACCAATCAGTGCAGGATGTTTTCTTGATTTTAAATTTCTTCTGCTAGTGACATCCCATTTTTTATTGGCAGAAGTAGTTGGAGTTGTACCACATCTCCCATTTGGTGTTTCATGCAAAGCTTTGTCTGTAATAAAAAATTAGTATATATTAATTTCAAATATATGTTTACTTTTATAGAAGAGAACTCTTGTTTCATATTAAGAAATAGCACATGGCCGTGCCCGGTATCAGACTGGCCGTTACAGATATTAACCAGTGTCAGGTAGACCTAAAGTTTACATGACTACTGTTGCTGTTAATTTATCATTACTGCTATTACTTGAAGGTTACAAGTGAAAAGTATCAAAAATACACTCACCATTCACGTTGTCTACTTTTAATATATTTGTTTCCAGAACTGTTTCTGCACTAGTAGTGGGTGGCAATGGTTCAAACTCATTTGTAACAAGCAGTACAACTTCTGTAAAAAAGGTACAGCAATAATTAGCAATCAAGTTAATTAATGTGAAATAAATAATGATTTAACTTTGATTGTGCGACACAGCAGGCACATTATATTCTTTTGCAAATATGTTGATAGGTACCTACATGACAGCTATAATAATAATAAATAAATAGTTTATTGGTAAAAACAAGTATAAGTATAAACACAATATTAGATTGGATCCTCCTTTTAGGCAGTTAGTGCCTGTATTAGGAGAGTCCGCTCTTCTTTAAAGGAAGTATTATGGATACTTACGGTTTTGAGTAGCCTCACTTTCTACAACCTCAGTTGTGTCCATTTGTAATGGTGGAATTCTTAAAAATTCTTCCATTTTAGGAACATCAATTGTGTCTGCAACAAAGCATATAGGTATTTTATTTGAATAGGTATGACTAATTATTTACAATAAACCACTTTTGATTTCAAATAGACCGCATCGGTAAAGACGGTCACGTTCCCTAGTGCTTTTTTAAACAAGTGAACAAGCTTACCTTCTTGATTTTGTGGCAATACATCGGAGTCGAAAATACTTTCCAAGCCATCGGCGCTTAACGTTATCATGGCTTTAATTTGTTCTTCCACATTATCGAGTGGAGGAGCTGTGTTCTTACCACCTCCGGTACGGTAAAGTTCCGAGCGACATGCAGCTGACTTTTTCCTGACTGTACGTTTCAAGCCCTCATATTTGACCTTTAACGTTTTGGTCGATCTAAATATGCCTCCAGATCGAGCATTAAATTCATTTTGAATGCTTTCCCAAGCGGCTTCCTTCATTTTCCACGTCGAAGCATCACTTTGTTTATTCTCCAGCACAGCATGGTATTTTTGTACAAGTGATACTAAAATTTCTCTCTCATGTAACGAAAAGTTTGCACTTCTATCTCTTTTAACTTTATCCATGATAATTAAATACGTAAGTACTTAATAACTTAAGAAATTAAAATCACACAAGTTAATATTTCCAACCGAACAGACAATCCACTACTACAACAAACAACAATGCACAAATGACAGCTGCAATGACGTTTGACGAGTGACATTGACGTAATATTGAACGAATGTGACGTATGATTTGTTACGTTACTCACTTAACCAGCAAGTTGTTACTCGGAGCTTATTTTTCGTTTGTGAAATCGACAAAAGATACTCGTAACCTTTACTTGCTGATTAACGTTAATTGAGAAGTAACTAATCAACACTTTACTTGGAGATGGTGAACGAGGCCCTAAGTATACATCTACCTATCTTATCTTTATCCTTAAAGTACACAATCAAGATGTCTGCGACTTTCAAAGGCGGGAAACGGTTCCAAGTCGTTCCATCTATATTTAGCACAAAAAAGGCAAAGGCGAACTGGACATTTGGCAAAACATAATATTACAAAGCAAAAAGTTTTACAAAAAAAAGGGTGCAGACTGCAGGGCCAGGGTCAAAAAAGGGACTGTTATAACTAGTTGTAAAAGAATACAATGTCGTAATGATTAGTGAAAGTTAGTAAATGGATAAAAAAAACTTACCTGTGACTTACTGAGCACTTTCAGTGCGTATTCTTTGTCTTCACTTATCTTCTTTACTTTATAAACCTCACCAAACGCTCCCTTGGCTATTGTCTCTTCTATTTGAAAGTCTTTCTGGAGTAAGTCAGTGGTGATGGGAAATTCAGGTTGGAATATTGATTCTTTGTGGGCAACTGGCCAGGCAGTCTTGCTTGCTTCTAGTGGATTTTTTAATGTGGAGTCATTCCATCTGCAATAGGTTCATTAACAAAACTGGCTTAGTTGCTAAACTCTAAGATTTTCAATATTTTTGTTTGTATTTTGTGTGGGTTATGCATGACCATTAAGGATTTCATCCATACTAGTGTAAGCTTCATTGTAAGTTAAAAAAACTGTTAAAAACCAAATCAAGAGCAAATTCGAAGGATTATAAAGATGTCAGTTGCAACTACTATTCAGTGAAAAAAATATATCTTTTCATATTTTTACACTACATTTTGTACAATACAGGATTTTTCACTTATAAAATGATTAACTAGTTAAGTACCAACATCTAGGTAAAATGCATGAGTATTAACAATACCAGAAATATGTAAACAAATGTCCGAAAAAAATTTTGGGCATTACATAATCAATGTATAATATACAAAGTCATCATACCTACTCTGTGGATGAAATAAATAAAATGTGGATAAGAACAATAAAAAAATAGCTGCATATTTATTTTGTAGTTGCACCAATTAATTTGCTATTGCAATACAATGATATCCTGTTAATTTTATGTCCTTGTATTACATTTGCTTTATGTGTAAGGTTAAGTTTAGTATTATTGATTGTGCAGTTTCTTTTTTTTTGTAAGGCCTATCATTTATGTGTTGCAAGTTTCTTACCTCTTTCATATAATTAATTAAAACATTAATTGACCGGCAGAGTATATTATGTGGTGTACAATAAGTATGAGTGGTATCATGTTAATGAGCTTTAAATGTTTTGAATACAATTCTTAAATTTCTTATTACATATGTTGAAAAACAAGGTTTCTCGTGTCAATGAGCTTTTCGTTCAAGATATGGCTTCTATGGACCCAGTATTGAACATTCTCACTGCAATTTTTTTTATTTGATAGTGAGCTTTTTTACTACATTAAAAAAACCTGCCATTTAGGTTTAGAAATCGTTAAACAAGCTCTAAAAGCGCAAGTCATGTATAGGTATGCTTTTGTTATTCTAGTTTTTTAATACTCATGTTCAATGAAAATAATAACAATATTGCAAAAGTTTGTGCAATAGTTAATTTTGCATGTCATCAGATAAAGATAATTTATAATATAAGGTAGACTGGCAGAGAATGCTCACTGCATTTTATCCACCTTAAAAATGTACAATGATGGTTGTGCATGAAGTTTAAAAATTAATAAATAAATAAATAATTTATACTATGCTTCACTGTATAATGAACTTACATTATAGAGTGAAGCATTAAAATTCTGAACAAACACACAAAATTATAGAATTATAGAATTTATAAAGCTGAAGAGTTTGTTTGTTTGAATGTGCTAATCTCCAGGATTACTGGTCCAAATTGAACAATAATTTTTATGTAAGATATTCCTTTTATTGAGGAAGGCTATAGGCTATATAACATCACGCTAAGACTGATAGGCAGCTAGTTATAGAATAATTATGAATCATAATAATAAAAAGTCCGGGACCCTGTGGTCCCGTAAGTGGAAAGGAACACACATAATGGTGATTGATTTTGAGCTTTAAAGCCATAGGTACTCATTTTGTTCTTACAATGAAACATAACTTATAGCGATATACCAGTAATAGTTCTCAGCAATTTTATTAAAGAAATGATAAATATGAATAAAAAGAATACTTTTATAATGAGTAATAAATGATGATTTATCTTCTGTACAGTTACTACAAGTTACTAATTGCTTTATAATAATTTAAAAATCCATTAATACATTTACAAGGTAATTTTATCTAAATTGTAGTTAGCAGTTATTGTTATAATATGACTAATTTATATGTGGTTATGACAGGAATTTGAACAATGTTGCTGATTGCACATTATCATTGGTTATCTTGATCTGCAAAGCTTTTTAGTAAAAATAAAATATACCTAATTATTACCTTCGAGTTTGTTTTTGTTGGGATATAGCTTTCATTTAGATATTCTATTTTAGATACAAAATAAACAGAATTGATAAGTAAAACAAATAAAAGTGACCCTCAAATACTGGACACTAACAAAAAATGTAAAACAGAAACAGCATTTTTTATATTCAAGGATTTTTTGTGAACCTAAAGACTTCAAGGTTTACTGTTTTATGTAAACTTTAATCTCATTTGCATGTTAAACATATTGATAATAACCATAAATTTAATTTACCATAATCACATGGTTGACAAAATATCTGGTCAATAAATTAAAAGACATGCTGTATAAACAATGTCACTCTTACAAAAACTCGAATTTACGAAAATATAAAAAAGAAAGTATATTTTATGTAATTATAATTTACTTACAATTAAATACTTTTAATTTTAGTAGGAGTATTGTAAAGTAATTAAGATAATGACCATGTATGTATTAATGTTAAAAATGTCAATTTGAAACTGGCGCGATTCAATTGTAATCAAAGCAACGAACATGTTTGTTTTGACTAATTGTATATTGTATGTATATACTAACCTTCGCCTCGAGACGCGAGACCAAGGCCGTGATGCACTGTACACCGACTGGTTGCTCGTAACACTGACGAAGGAACGCCCGCTGAGGTTGCCCACGAAATGGGAGAGACTGAACTAAATACAAAAATAAATTATGCGCCTAAACGTAACAAAGAACTGACACAAACAATAGACATTTTTTTGAATCCCTGGGTACCCGATCTTTTTTACACAAAGGAAATTCTAAAGCCACTACGCAGCATCTTACAGCTACAGGATTACAGTCTTTATTAACAAAAATATTAGTGACTCCGTGAGTTCAGCTGAGAATGACATTAACAAGTTTTCGTTTCATCACTTACCTGACTAGTGAACGCCTGGCCGTCGCGGTCTGAATGCGTAGATTGTTTTTGATTCTTGTGCTCCAAGTTTTTATTATGCGTGTTTCCCATTAAACTAAACTAAATGGCTCTATGCGTGTCGTTTCAGGTATATTTTCATGTTTCTCTAAAAACTGTTGACTAATTTTTCCACCATGAATCGCCCACAAACAATCAACACAGTGTTGCCACTACATAACCACTTAAATACAAAAAAAAAGAATATCTATGGAAATTAGAAAAACCCAGCTTCATTACATCAAATTGTTTTCATTTTAATAGGTATTTTAAAGTTACATAAATGTAAAACAACACACACTTTGACTTTACGGCGATAAATTATGTCTTGTTATAAAAATATATATGAATACATACATATTTTCTAAAACCTGGATCAACAATTACCCGCGTAATTCAAATATTCATGTAATAGCGAACTGAGGTAGTCTTGCAGGTATTTTGCAAACATTGCATTACATATTATTTTGGTAAAAATGTAGTTGAGAAAAAAGATAATAGTCACTTAAGTACCTATTAAAATTAGATAGTTAAAATATTTGACACATTAACTTATTATTTAAGTGAATTATTTTTCTTGTTACTCGTCATTTATTATCTCGACCGTTTGCTTTCGCTCCAATAAAGTATCTACATTGAAGGGACAGTAAAACAATAGAAGAACAAAAAAATCAAAGAAGGATCGATACAATGTTGAGCCCCTCAAAATGATCTTGGGTCCGTGTGTCGTATATTGTGACGGTGAATTCAAAAATTAATCTTTTGGCAAGTCGTTCTTCGATCTTTTCAATTTTAAATAACACTGACAATATTGGCGCATATGTTTAGGCATTTATATATATTTTTTCTTTACTAACTCCCTGCTATCTACATATTCCAAATTTAGGAAATCAAAACTAAGTAGGTGGTAGGTATTTAAGTTTAGGCTTACCTGCTATTACCTAACAGAAAAAGTACCTATTAGAGGCATTGTAGGTGGTATGGTTGCCATGGAAACAGCACGCCATGTCCCTCTTTTAACTTATTTTTAAAATAAGTATTGTCTTGTGTAAAGATAGTTACTGTATTTCGTAACATGTGACATCAATTTAATTATGTAAATATTATATAATCGGTATAATGAACCTAGACCAAGACGTGACGTCTAAACATACAAATTGTGCATGTGTGTGTCGTTTTTGAAAATCGAATTTGTTAAGGTTCATTGGTTGTAACTGTACCTAATTATATTCTTACATATCAGTGCAATACGATTCATATTGTGCTACGCAGTACCGTGTACCTATAAGTTTACTATGAGAATAGCTAGGTACGACACAGAAATCCAGTTCTAAGATTTTAATCATACTGAGGTTTGGACAAGATTTAACGCTTTCTTAATATTGTAATTTTTTTCTGGCAAGATTCTATGGCAGGAATTGCCAATTCAAACACAAAAGAAACTAACGTAAGCCCTAAATAAAAACAATACACTTTGAAAACGCCGCTTAGATCTTGGATGCTCAGTGCTTTTGTGGTGACTTCATCTTTAATGTCGGTGTATCTGTACTGCTCCCATTTTCTTACCAGTCCGGCTTCAAATATCATCATCATGTATCTATTGTATCGATCTGTTAGCGGGGAATGTTTGGAAAGCACCATGGTCAAGTAATGGCTATGTATTCTGTCTCGTTCAGCGATGTGTAAATATTGTTCCCCTTTGTTATTCAGTTTGTTCCGTTTAATGTATCGACCCACTGAACAATCTATGAGACAAAATCGTCGATTGTCATTTACCATGCGAGTAATACACCCGTAAATGTCTTGTTCGTAGACCAGCCTAGAATTGATTATTCTGAACTTTTCCTCTGTGTCTGGAAGGATCAAATCAGGTGATGCCATTGCCTCGATCGGGTATCCTTTTTCAATAACATCTTCGAATGTATCGACCTCTTTACCTCTCTTCGCAGCAGTGAAGAATGATATTATTTTGGCCTGTGTTGTAAAATTTAACGCAAAGAAGCACCACAAACAAATAGTGAGAAAGATACGAAAAGATTCATACTTCGGCGGATTACATAGATTTAACATTAGAACATTTCTCCAGGCATTCATAAAATCCTTTCCTATCTGGTCCCAAATAAATCGTCCTTTTTCAGCAGCTTTGTAAAGGGAGAAAACCATCCAAATACATACGAAGCAACCATGGAATACGAATAAATATTTTAAATTCACTGTCAGGTTTTTCATTTCAAACAGAGTAGTTTCAAAGCCTGCTCGTCCTGCCGCAATGCAAATACCGCTTTCCTTAAACGGAAAAGTGAAATCGATTTCGACAACAATGACGTCAAATTGGTAAATAGGAAAGAGACACAGATCTCCCTTTCTGCGGGCAAAGGAAAATATCTTTTCGATATTGACTTCGAAATTGAAAGGTTTCTTCATGAAACTCACGCTGGGACTGAGATCAATACCGAAGTTCATGAGTTTTGACATCGTGCTCCAGATCATTCCGTCGCGTGCTCTAAATGTGTAACTTCCGTCTTCGTGCACGTCTATTATAGAAAATGGTTTGACTTCAATAACGTATGATCGAAACATAAAACCGTGCAAATTCTTGCTCCTGTCTTCGAATAGAATTAGGCCTTTAAGGTCTTGAATAGATTTTATAGGGATTGTGTCGAAACCGATGCAGGTGCCAAGATGTTGGGCCCTAAGTCTAGAAAGGATTGTCACATTATGACACCCTTCAACGCAGGTTAATCCTTTTTCAAAACCAACAACTGGGATCCCAAGGTTCCTTCTCGTCCAACAGCCAAACTTATTACTCGGCTGTACCTCATACTTTTCATTTACATACGGAGTGTAATTGGACACAAGAAATGTATCTTCTACGTCGTTATACTGGACCATAATTGTGTTTATAGCTTTATGATACCATAAACTGAAGAATATCTTCGCTATAACTTCTTTGTCTTCTATTCTGTTGTAATATAAAATTATATTGGCTAGAGGGTGCCAGTACGGTGAAGTAATTAATTTCACTATAAGTGCTTCATAATCTTTAAAGTCCTGGCAACTGATGACAATGATGTTAGAATGATAAGGAACTACATCATCTACGTAGTGATCTTCTCGGTTATTAAGATTCATTACGACGAAAGTAAACGGTATCTGCTTGATTTTGCTATAAAATACAGTGGGCAGGTTCCCGACGCACATGACAGTATTCCATCCGTTCGTTTTGAAATGTGTAGTCATTATATCCACCTGAAATCAACGACAAAGACTCTTGAGAGTTAATAAAATGTTACTTAAGTAATGTTCCCGACCTCATCGGGTAGGTAGATACTTAATTCTTTATCAAGTTATTAAACATAGAAAATAATATTGGGACTTACTATAACTTCACTCTTCTTTGTGTCAGGATCAGGTTTGATCATATTTGGGAAGTCAGCGAGGATGGCATTGACAAAAACACCAACAATAAGTAGTGGGCGCTTCATGATTCTACCAGACATCTATATTGATTGACCCGCTCCTCAGACTAAAATCACCATAGGAGCTTTCTAAATGACGACCAAAACTAATCTGTATGTAGGTGATCACTGACGAAATGTTACTACAAAATAAGCAATTTCAATTATGTGTTAGGTAACCACATCAAATATTAGGTAAATCACACCGCTATAATAATCACCAAAGTGGTTTTAAAATACTAAACTCAATTCCCTAAAACCACCAATTTGTAGGATAATGCTCCATTTCGAAAATGATTACTATTATCTGTATAAAACAAATGTACCTAATTGGATAGAAAACGATCGCACTATTGAATAATAATTGTACCTACTTTGGTAAATTAGTCTCTTATAATAAGTACATTTTACCTAAAGGCTTGTTTAACTATATGCTTCAGTTTAACTAGAGGTAAGTATTCCCTCCAGCTAGTTGAACTGACAATACCGGCTGGCAGTAGTCCGATTAGAAGAGCTGAACATCGTGTATTTGCGGTGGCCTATGTCCGGCAGTGGACGGAATCAGGCTGATGATGAAGTTTTAATTCTCTAAATTCCCATGATGATTTTTTTTATGAAATAGGAGGCAAACAAGCATGCTCATCACCTGATGGTAAGTGATCGGCGCCACCCATGGACACCTGCGGCACCGGAGGAGTTCAGACGCGTTGCTGGTCCTTAGACGTGTAAAAATATGGGCTAGTTAGATACCTATGCTAAGAAAATGTTGTGAAAATTATGTTTAACAGTAGATACGCAATTAAACACAGTTATTAATTGAGTATCTCTCACGAGTTATGATACAAAAAATGTGTAAAGAACCCCTCTAAATTTTCACGTCTTTGGTGAAAGAACACAATTAATAAAGTGAAGTAGGTATGGATGGACTCCGAGGTTTCGGGGAGCAGGAGAAGGTTTGTAATGGTGTAGTTTTTAGTCAGTAAGAGTATGATACTAGCCCTCACCTCAGCCTAGGCAAGAGAATTTATTTGAGGGACCTTTCAAAAACAATCTACAGGAGGACGCCGATGTTATTGGTTAGACGGTAAAAATAAAACCAAATTATAACAAAAATATTTGCTTTATTTCATATCAAGTCTTTGTAATACTAACATACGTTATTAACAGCCAAAATAAAATCCTAAACCAAAACCAACGACTAACGTGATATATTTTTAACTTAATGCCAATTAACACTTTTACACCATAAATATTCTTCAAACGCACAAAATATTGTCTTTATCGGGCATACAGATTTAAGGAACAGGAAAACATAATAGATATTAATCGCCATTGTTGTTAAAATATAGCAACTATATAAGTTTTGTATCCAACAAATAAAATGTGAACATAATGTACATGTATTTGAACATATCGCTTACTTTGAGGGGTTCGTCTAGTTTCAAGCCACAGCCGGGTGTGAACCGTGATACAATACATGAAAGTAGTAGATGTTAATTAATGTTTGTTACAAAAAAAATAATTAAAGAATATAATTACAACTACGTAATAGCATCGGCTGTGTGTATTTGTATCAGCATACGATCAAAATTATTGAATCCACCAAAATTGGCGATAAAATGCTATAAAAGTTTTTATGTTTTATACATATAATAAAAAAATATAAATAATAAATATCTGAAAACAAAATATTTGTAAGTACAGTGTTATCAAAATAAATAAAATAAAATGCTTGAAATAACAAAATGTTTTCAAATCATAGACAAAACTTCAATTAATTATAAAAATACATGGATATTTGTTTAAAAAAAAATCAGTTTTGCTTAGTAACTAAAGTTTATTGTCTTCTTGATTTAGAGCAAAGATTATTCCTGTAGAATTTAGGGCAGATTCTCCTATGTTGGTATTTTTTATTAGTAGAGTTTTGACAACTGGCAACAAAAAAAAAGAGTAAAAATGGGCAATACCAATTTAAATTGGGATTTTTCTTGTCAAGACCAACATTGGCTTATGATTAGTTCCTTTAGTTCTTCGATCGCGGGAAAGAAAAACAAAACAGGTGGACAAAAACCCAAGATCTGTATTTTACAAGTCCTGGCCAAGGGACTTCACATCACATTTAGGATGAACAGCGTAAATCCTCTGATATGGTGGTTTCTCACTAGCCTAAATCCTCAAACAAATAAATAATTTATAAAATACAAAAACAATTCAAAAACTTCTATTGACTATAGCTAATCGAAATGCTAGATTTTATTGTCAATGCCTTAGCTAGAACCAGAGTCATTTAAACTTGATAGCTTGTTCCACAGCCTGCGTTTTCCCGCCATATTTTTTATACAAGAGTAATGAATCTATCTTCAATCAATTACTAAATAATGATTATTTAGATGACATTTTTGTAAATAAAATTTAATCTTTGAGACCACGTTATGTTACCACAAATACTTTTAAACTAAGCCAGACATTTTTTAAATGTTTTTACAAACTGTTTCATTAAATTTAAAATTCAATTTATTCGTTTTCAATAACACTAAATGAAAATCTTGTACAGAATTCCGTGATGCATCAACGCTATTCAAGTGGTGCAACGGCCTTTACCTACCAAACATAAGAAACTTTCTTGTAAAATAAAAAATTGAAGTTCAATGTACTATAATTGTCAATCCCTTTTTAGGTACCTTCAAATATTAGTTTAGGCTTTATTATGATCTACGACATGCTTGTGCGATGTAACTAACGATTTACGACGCGCATGCGGTTTACGATTATAAGCCCCAATGACCGAAACTGTTCGAGCACCGCCAAACATTTAACGTATCTACACGGCGTTTGTTAAAAATGTTATTATTAAAAGATCCGTGGAGTATGTCGGGGTAACAATTGCTAATATTGCTGCTACTAGCTAGCCTGACCTACATTCTCTTAGCTAAATACTCTTGCAGTTCTTTCCATGCGACATCGAGTTGTCGGTCCGTATGGTCTGTGCTCCAATTCGGACTGAATACTACATTAGCCACGGCTACATGGTCCATATTAGATACTTGGGAGTCCACTCTCTTGGCGGCGTCTTCCGCTGAAAGGTTGTCGCGTTTCTGTATCCTTTTGATCGCCTGTCGATGAACAATTGTTAATGGTGTTGGATTACAAGCGGGCGCGCGCGCGCGTATGTGTATGTGTGCGTGTGCGCGCGCGCATGTGTGTGTGTGTGTGAGAGAGAGAGAGAGAGAGAGAGAGAGAGAGAGAAAGAGTGTCGGTGTGTTGTGTGTGTGTCATATGTATATAGGTATTTTTTATATCATATTTATTGTTTAGTTTGTTGGATGTACCTAATAGAATATAATGTAAGCATAACCATTACAAGACAATAAATTATTTAAATAAATTTTCTGCATACGCACGCATATGATGCATGAATTTAAATATAAAGCCTTTTGAAAGCGAACCCACCTCGTCCCTGGGAATGATGACGGTCCACAGTTGATGGCAGTACTCGTACCACTTGGCCCGCACCATCACGGCCGCCTCTATGACCACGATACGGTAGCCCTCATCGCCCAAAGCTTTGATGCGACGCTGCGTCTCGGCCATCACTTCTGGCCATACCAAGCTGTTTAGTTTATCTAATTGTGCCTAAAATCATTGTTTGCATTTAGTTTAATTATATATTTATTTATTTAGACACCACTGGCAAAAGGTGAAAGAAAAGAAAACATAGTGACGAAACCTGGACTTATAATTTCTAATTATTAGTTTGAAATCGCCGATCCGCCTTGAGCAAGCGTGGTGATTAATGCTCAAACCTTCTCCTTGTGGGAAGAGGCCTTTGCTCAGCAGTGGAGACTTATAGGCTAATGATATGATGTGATATAATGTATTACAATTATCGAAATCTAGAAGTAAACTTGTTGGATTTTAATCAGCTGTAATTTCTTATAACTCTTTTTGATCTATTTTATGCTTATTAAAGTGTACGTGAATGCAAACTGTGCTAAATTATTTTGATAGGTTATAACCCCTGTCTTGTAGTTTTGTTGAAAAAAAATGATTTCGAGCCTCCCCTCGTTCGAAACTGGCGCTTAGGCACTGGCTGTAAAATGTAAAGTCGCTCTTTCTTCGGTAGATTTTAAACTTTTACAGTAAAGTCGAAAATCGTGTAATCGAGCATAAATTACCTTATCATTAAAAACGATAGATCCTAGCTTCCTCCTGTCCACTTCTCCGGTCTCTGTGATTACTTCTTTGCCGAAATTCTCAGATATCGTGCGGTTAAGGAGAAGGCCCGGTTTGTACAGCTCGTGAGCGATAATATCACAGTTCAAAACCGCCGCACCTTTTTCTCTGTAAATCAAATTAAATAATTTCATATTACAATTATGAATAATAAGAAAAACAATTAACTTAATAATAATATGCTACCAATTCAGCACACTTTAATTACAATACATTTTTAAATTCATTAAAAATTTGTAAATCTACAGGTTACTAACTTCGCCTAAATTAGTCAAATCAAATAAAAGGATTATCTTTAACAATTTTATGACTGGAGTTCACCCAATTTGAAAATATGAGGGTATTTCTTTTACTGAAGAAACTACCCAATTCCTATGCAGTTTGTAAATCATCAGTCAAAAGAATCATGTCTTTGTGATAACACTGCTGCATAATCTCTTAATCGAGAAGAAGAAAAGGGATGATAATAATATTACATACGATCAATAAAACATACGTACTTTAATTTTTGCAAAATACGAGATTTTCCGCTGGCAATACCCCCGGCCAGTCCAATCACGTACGGCCAATCCGGGATGTTGGGATTAGGCTGAAAAACCAAATACCTACTCATATAAACAAAAATAAAAAAGATTTAATTTGCATTATTTATGGTAAGTACATATCAATAAAAAATTTAAATTGAAAGCTTTACATAAAATACATACAATAACAATAGTAGGTATCTTCGGCAGTTTAGGAGTAATTATGTTTAATCTGTTATTGGTGAAATCGACAGCTCAAGAGTAATTCCGTTCATTGAAATGAACATGTTCAATCTGTTTATTAGTGCGATAAAACGGGTTGAATAGAATTCGAGGGGTGAATAGACACAGAAAAGGGGTGAATAGATACTAGGTACCAACACCTAAGTATTCACCCTTTTCGTGTACCTATTCACCCAGTTTTACGGTATTTAAGTTTATCAGCGACAGATAAACACATACACGCGGTAAAGGAGTGTAAGAATAACTACATAAAAGACATCAGTAAATACTTCTTTGAGGTTATTAGAAGCCCAATTCATCCCAACCCCCAACCGTCAACCTCGTAAACTCTCAACACTCGAATACCTAACAAAGAGACGGCCATGCAAACTCCGCAGGTGTTGCGAGCTTATCAGGGGATCCGTCTGTTCATTTAAGGACCAAAAAATTCTACAACATAACTTACTTGTGGTCTCCGAATTGTTTTGCCCAGCATTCTTATCCTCTGGTTACTAGAACTGACTTTGCCCTCCTCAGCGGTCGAAGTATCCGCCTGAGAGTCTTCTATGATGGATATCACGTGGACGTCCATCGGTGGTATTCCCTTCTCCTCTCGCTTCTCATTGATCTTAACAGCTCCTCGAATCGTCTCATCACTTACAACTATTAACTGTAAATTCAAAGCATTTATTTCATTTAACTACGTTGTATGGAATTGTTAGCAACTAGTAAAGTTAGATTTTTGAATAGTAACTATTACGAGCAGAGTGCGCGTCAATGCGACTCTGTACATGAATAAGAGTCCCGCTCTGACTCGAAACTAGTAGAGCTTATCTCAGTTAATTCACGTAAATATGTTGTAAGTAAAAGTTATTTTCAATAAAATTTGTGAAGCTGCGAGTGAGGTTACCGAAGGCCTAATCACTCAACATCCCCCCGAAATCCCTTAAATAAGTGGCGTTGATTGGTTACCGTAATTTTTATACGGTTGTTCGTTTGCCGTTACATCTCGTCTAATAATGGGTAGAGGTATGCTGTGTAGAGGGGCGAGTAAGGAACGTAACGTCTTGGTACTGTTTGTAAAGGTGAGGTTTTACTTTACGGAAAATTAGTGTTCCAACGTCTCAGCTGCTAGTTTTACCGCAATAAGTTTAAACAGTATGACGGAATCATATTCGTAATAGAATGTACGCTATTGATTGGAAAATAAATGAAAGAGAATACAAACAATTTTAGCTTTGACTATGCAATACAAAAATATCACGAGGATAATAGCTCATAGTTCCTTATTATGGAAACAGAACAAATAATTTATAAAAAAACATTACCTGGAATTTAGGATCGTCTTTAGTCGGGCCGTAGAGGTCTTTTAAGGGAAACAAATTGTATTCCAAGTCTGGATTGATGTCCATTAGGAAGTTGTGTACCTCTTTTATTCTTTCTTCCACTGGTTGTATCAGTTCCGGTAAAGTTTTAACTGAATGCAAACGAAAAAATATGTAATATACTTACATACATAAATTTGTTATTCTAAAGTATGTTCTAACTAGTTGTCATTTCAATCGGTTTGCAAGTGACAAAACTATAGTACCTATAATGTTACTAATTTCTGCTAATTCGAGATTTCATTCAAATCCGTTCAGCAATTTTTACTTTACAGAGTTACAATCATACTTACAAAATTTCACGTTTATAATCATTAGAGGGTTTTTGCATTCATTAGTGTCTAATAATATCTTAATATCTGCTTAAGGCTAAGTTTAAGTAGTAAGGATTACCTTGAAGCATGTTCATGTCAGTAACACCCACAGTAACAGACTTAGTGGCTCGCAGCACAGCTTGTGACAACAGCACCTTATGACCATTATGTAATCGGTCAAAGGTCCCACCCAAAACAACATTCTCGTAGGTTCTTACTTTTTCTAAAATACCGACGGGTTCTTCATTAACATCTGAAAGATAAATTAATTGTGATAATCATTACTCACGCTTCTCTCGAGGTATGAAACATTTTTGAAAACTTTTACAAAATCATCATCATTAAATATCTTTTTAAGTGTGGGAGAGCAAAATTATGAAATAACTTCTCCCGCCCAGGGCCGGGCGGGAGGGAGTGTCAGACTCTTACTGGCTAAAAACCCCCCTGTTCCTTCTCCTGCTCTGGGTCGAGGTCGCGGTGCCTCATTGCGCTTACCCCGCAACCCCGGCTGAACATCAGCCCTATAGGGCCTCGTCTGTGGTGGTCTATTGGCTCTTTGAGGCGCGCGCGGAACGCTACGCGCCGCACGCTCGGGCCTGGTTCTGGTCGGGCGGCGAGTTGCCCTTACTGGCCGTCCGCAGGCGCCGATTCCTTACGATCACTTTTTTTTATGTGATAGAGGACGGCAAATGAGGAGACGGATTACCTAATGGTACATAAGCAATCAGCGCCGCCCATGGACACTCGTAACAAGGCAAGCGTCACGAGTGCGTTGCTATCTTTTGGGGATTAGGGTTTTCGGGATTTACGGATTGGGCCTCCAGTAACTTCAATCACAAGGCAAAACACAACGCTGTGGTTGTTTCACGCCAGTTTTCTGTGCTGTGTATGTTTCTTTATGTCATAGCTATTTATTATAGGCCAAGCAATGGTGGCCTATAGCATAAATAAAAAAACATACACTTGAAACTTATAAAGAATCATACTGCATGGGCATAGATCTCCATTTAGTAAAATTATTGCATACTTAAACTATATTTTGTTTAATCTTATGGTAGAAAGCTGTGACTTTAGAATAATAGAATCTATATATACATTAACTATTATAAACCATAATTTGTAGAATGTTCTTTTATCAACATTTTCAGCCACGGTTATTATCGTAGTTATTGCATGACTTGTAAATATAGAAATCTTATCACATCAAGAAAAGTCATAGTGTGATAATGGCTAGTGTTAAATTATTTTATATGACATACTAACACACTTTATATTACATTGAAAAGGTTTCTATTTCCTGACTTTAACATATACTTTTTTATTTTAATTTTGTATAAGAACTTTCTCCAATTTGAAGCAGACACAGCATAAAAATCTATCTAAATTATTTCTTAACATTACGATTTGAAGAATCAAAATGCTGAAAAATTCTTTCCCAATTTAGGTGTTGAGCCCAACTGCTGCCTTTCAGCAGAAGTTATCACAAGTTTTAAATATTTTTTCTACAGAATTTAATTAAATGGCTTACCTAGATTTTGTACTCTACAACCACTTCTTATAGTATTTACAGAGCTCTTCAGGCTGTCTATATCCTTTGCTAATTCACTCTCAAATATTACTAGGTCAATTGGAAAGTTAGTGTTCTCATTTTTCACTTCACCTTGTTTTAATATCAGTCTTACATCCAGATGGTTGTATTGGGATGCTGCCTGGAAAAATATAATAACAAATTGTTTTTATTTTTTTCTTTCTAAATGTCTATGGTAACCGAATGGTAAGCAATAGTTGTTGCCCATGCATATTGGGAACATGGAGGAATTGCAGGTGGCCTTTTGATAACTTGGATTATGGGGCAGGAGGCCAGAATAATGAGTGTCCTATAACCATTCACACAGAAAATAAATATAAAGCAAGCATTGTTTTATTCCGGTTTTCTGTGAGGCCGACTCATTTATGCTGATATATGTGTCTACCACATTTCTTTACCATTATCATTATCCTATTATTTACAATTATTACACTTCTAACAGCTGAAATGAGTAACTGATCTAAATGTAAAATTTATGCATAAATACTACAATGAATGTTAAAAATAGACCTTGATACAATGATTTTGAATTGAGATTGGATTTTAATAACAACAAAAGGACTTATACAATCTAACAATCACTAGCTGTCACATATTTTTAGACGAGGGACTAGGATATAAACTAAGGTCACAAAATAAATTTTGGCTTCATTTTTTTCCAGAATTTAGTTACAACACTTGACTTACCTTACAATAAACATGTTCAATTTGCTTGCTAAGCATAGGTAATGATGCTTCATTGTTTTCCTTAACTCTCAGATACAAAACTCTTTGCACCAACTTTGAAGCTCTCTGGCAGATAGCATAGGCTTTAGCAGCATTTGATATGAACACATACCCATTGTTTGCCATCTCATTAGCTAAAAACAAATAATTACATAATGGTTAATGTATAACAACATTGTAATTATTATTCTTAAAGCCTAGTATTAATTTTCATTCAATACAAAAATTATAATATTAATGTAACCATTACTCAGATAACAATTATAGAGATGTTAAAGTACTTGATGTCTTAAAGATGTGTAAAAATCAACTGAACGAATGAAAATTACTAACTGTCAACAAGATAATATTATAATTCAAGGACGTAAGTTGTTATCATAAATTTTAAATTGCTTAAAATGATGATGCATAAGTTAACTTCTAAGTAATAAACAATTTTAAATTACTAAGGTACTGTTATTATGCTACCCACCTGTTGGACTCATCACAAATATATATGACACAATTACTGAAAGCACAAAAACCAAGATAGGAGCGGTGTAACCAATATACATTATTTTATTACGATTAACTAAAGTCCAAAGGTTGACTATCGATCTACTGAATATACCTTCTTGAAACTAATTTGTGCAAATTTATTACTACGTATGATCACTGCTAAACTACTACTTCTTTAAATCATTTAATTACAATTTGCGTACACATAAAAACATCTAATTAATAATCAACAACAATAATATTATGGTCCTACAATGTTTCGAATATGGTTACACATGGAACATGATATACATATTTGTCTTATTACCTAATCAAATAAATAGTATTTTGGGGTTTGGAAATTAAAACAAAATGAAATTGTTCTTTCAGGAAAAGATATCATGAATTTTTGCGTACTATCATCAACCGAAAACGAAATACGAATGTAAGGTTATTACTTTTTGTCAAATAATTTGACAGATAATCGAGTTTGACATATGACAATAGATTGTTTTGGAGTTTATGGCCTGGATACCAGTCCTTTAAGCCAACAATAGATTTTGTCTACTCTATCTTTTTTTTTTCTTTTGAACTTAGAATCTTTTTATAAAACTGTAATATGTCTCTAATAGTGCATTTTATTTGAATAAAATATTATTTTATGTATGATACACGTATATACTACATTAATTTCTGTAGATTGGATACTACTTGATTACTAATTTGCTTATTGGTGATGTACCTATTTGTTGTATTTACTAGCACAAACAACAAAAAAATATAGATATTACGAATGTTAATGGAATACCAGACCATATTATGACTATACCTAAGGTAAACTAAAAAAAACTCCAAATGTCTATGGTGCCAGGTTACGGAGGGATGCTAGAAGCTAGCGTACCTATAGAGAGAGAGAGAGAGAGAGAGAGAGAGAGAGAGAGAGAGAGAGAGAGAGAGAGAGAGAGACTCTTCTGATAGAATACCGACTACCTACTTATCTAACTTGGTCCAGCTAGTGCTAGTAGGTAGGTACCTAATTTATATTGAAAAATAAAACAGGATAATTTTACCTAACATTTTATTTTAAAATTACAAATCATACACATGCACGCAATATTATAAATGTACTTAATGGTATTTAAGGTTCCAACTTATTATATAAGTATTTATTCATATGTTCATAATTAATAAACATTTGTACTGTGCTAATACTTAATTATCTAGAACAATGACAGGCACGTATCTTAAAGTTACAGACTATGCTTATATTTATTAGAATCGAATGTTTTTGTAATAAAATATTAATTCATTTCTTCATAGCTACAAATGATAAGATAAATAAATCTGTATTGACAGAATAAAAAATTGGGCTTTTCCTTTTTGTGAATCCAATCCAAACTGGTAGGATTTAAATATTGCTTACAGGCAGTTTTGAAAATCACTGACTTTTTTACGTCTAATTTTGCAAAAATCCAGGCAGTTTGATTTCGTTCCTTTTTAAAACTAAACACAAAAGAAAGATTAGCTACAATAAAAAACAATGCTAAGGTGGTTTACTTAAATGCCAATTATGACCTACTTAGAAACTAAACACAGTAGCTACCATAAGGTAGGTGTAAATAGAGACCTAAACTTAGGGAGGTAAATAAAGTACCTATAATTACTGGATACAGCTTCCGGTCAATAATAAAATTGTCTGAAATAAATCTAAATAAATAAATGCTCGTGGGTTACATTATGGCTATACATTCAGGGGGAATCTTTAGTGCATGTAGCACCTGGGTGGGGGTAGCTAGAAATATCCGAGCGCCTTTTTGTGTAATAAACAATTGGGTAGTTTCCTAGCTCAAAAATAAATTAATTCGACGTTTCAATACAATAAAATATTGAAAAATAACTATACTTTTATTAATCGATACACTGAATTTTAGATATTCATTAGTACCTAAATTTTTAAGAAATAAGTACGTAAACTATTTGACGCAAAAAAACTATGACATCATAACTCAGTTTTTCATGCAAATTTCATAGAGAAGTATCGTTTTTGACATTTGGATAAAAGTATTGAATTTGACTAGTTGGAAACTACCGTATTGCTCACTATTTTAGTGATTTTTGTACGAGAGTTTTTTTTTAGCGTCTCTTTGGCTCTACTCAAGCCCAGTACCCCTTTCTATCATCTAGCTAGCATCTAGCTCTCTGCACTGTAGATAAGACGTATTGTTTAGACTTAGTTTAACTTAACACTAAAATACACAAACAATATAATCATTTATCTAGCCTTATAATAAAAATATAACACATTTAGATATTTTCGCGTTGACTACAGCGTAACTTAATAATTTGAATGTGTTGACTAGTGGTTTATGAATGTGATGCATCCGAGTGTTCATGAGAATTCTTTGGTGCTTGTCATGTTTATGAATCTGTAAAGAAGTAACATAAGTAAATTAGGTAAGTATTTGTTACAATAGAAAATAGAATTGATTGGTTTGTCAACACTTTTTTAATACAGTAATCATCAATGATCTTAGACAGTTTATTCAGAGAACCCATTCCCCTTACAGACGCTCATCCGAGACCGGACTCACCATTTTCTACACTAGAACTAAAATCCCACTATGGTTTAGTTTAGCGGTTAAGGTGGGTAACTAAAGCTTAACAGCGCGTCGTATAGGTAGTTCGTTCTACATTGCTTCTAATGTTCATAGGCGTGTCTTTGCGTGCGAGATAACGACGCGACATCAGCAGCAGTGTACGACAACGCACGACGTAATTATAGTGTGTCTTTTTTTGTACCAAAGAGGTCGTATACAATACATACAAAGATTACAAAGAAAGTTTAGTTCATTACCCAAACCGACAGACTTACGTTTTTCTCTTAAAAAAACTAGTCGCCTTTTGGAAGTGTATCGCCATATAAAAAAGTATTATAAATACTAGATACTAGATCGAGAGCCTGATTATATCTCAGGGCATGTATAGGTACCCAGATCTTACCTAAGCGATTAGTGCATATCTTTTAGTCGCATTGCAGAATCGTCGGTAGATATGCGCGTGTCTTCTGTGGGCGCAGTGCTGGTGGTGTTCCACTTGCCCGTACGCTGGTCGTGCTCCGTCGGGGACAGACCAAAGAGGTTGCGGAATCTGTGTTAAAGAAAAAAATACGAAGAAACAGATATTAATATTGGACATTTCAAAGTCCAAGTTTAACCATAAATAGGTGCTTTTGCAACGTCAAAATAGAATAATAGTCTATCAGTCTACTCGTCAGTCAAACGAGGTGTTCTTTCCATTTATTGAAGAATGTCGTGCTTTAGGAGCTCAAGTGACTTCTCCAAGATCAGTTAAAAAAAAGTTGTTACTCTCTTGTGACTAATTAGGTACCTGTATTGTCACTTTATTTTCTTTGGTTGTAAGCATAAGCATTCCTTACACTAACTTTGAACAATATTTTTGTGTATCTATAACTCTTGTAAGACATATGAAATCACTGAACAGAACTGTGTTTTCTGTTCCGTGTATCAAATTAATAATGTTTAACGGTTTTTTTTAATTACTTTTTATTGACAAACCGAAACTTTTGCGTTAACATTCTTTTGGTACCAATTTGTAAGAAAATGTTTTTCTTTAGTGTTCATGTAAGTATGTAGCTATTGCATGTACACATTCACGTCATTTCATATAGGTAGGTACATCAGCTTGTGAATTAAAGCTTCGGAGAATAAATATATACCTATACGTAGATTCGTCAAAAATGTGCAGTTAAATACCTATGTGCTATATTATTTCAAAAGTAGTAATGACATGTAATTTTGGTATTTCTGTTATAATAAGATTAGGTAAGTTTTATATCAAACCCAGAGGCGGCGTAAGGCGTGGGCGACGTGGGCCACCGCCTACGGCCTCGCGGTACAAGGGGCCTCGCGCCTCGAAATTTTTTAAAGCGAAAAAAAATATAAAAAAAAAAATTGGAAAACAGTTCACCTACAGGCTATCCTTGCAACTTCCCGCTAAATTTTATCTAATGCGTCATTTTTGAGCTTATCGAGCTCAAAAATTTATTTTCCTTGTTGAAATACCTAATCGACAATTTATGAACTGTTATAATTTTTAGGAGAGAACTGTTGTGAAACATGTTTTCTTAGGCTAGAAACATTTGCCGCCGACCGACCAGAGTTCCAATGCCTTAATAAATAAATAAAAAACGTGCGGGGAATCCCTGGTTTTATTTTGTTTACTTTCTTTACTAGGAAGACAACCAATCAAATCAAAGTACAATGAAACAATGAAACAATGAACCGGCCTGAAGTTAGCTCTTTCTAACGGTCGCGCATGTACAGTCACTAAGAAAAATTAATTTCTTTTTTATTAATGTTAGTAAAGAAAACTGTTATTAATTAAAATATTTCTCTCTCAAACAGTTATTAGTCTTAGTATTTTTTTAATCTTAATTCATACATTTCTATTTACTGAAAAATAACTGTCACGTAAGGTTTATATCAGTAGTTTAAGGAAAACAATCGTTTTCGTTACTGCCATAATTTAAAAAGAGTATCGGGAAACAGAAAAGGATGTTCGATTATGAAAGCAGCGATCAACCTATACAGTCTCAAACGTATCAAACTGATTTTTTCACGCCATGATTGATTCTATAATAACCAATATGGAATTAAGATTTACGTCTTTAAATCAACATTTTGAAGAATTTGGTTTTCTCTATGATTTAAGCGCGCTAAAAAATATGCCGCAGGAGCAAATATTAAAACACTGTAACGATTTACATAACGTCCTGCGTGTGGGTGAGGGCAGTGATTTCCAACCATTTGAATTATATGAAGAATTAAATACAATGATCCTGAATTTACCCAACTTCTTTAAAGACGTGAAACAGCTGCTGTCATACATAACAGAAAATAACTTAAAAGAAATTTACCCAAATATTTACATTGTCATCGGAATTTTATTAACAATTCCGGTAAGTACAGCCTCTGCTGAAAGAAGTTTTTCTAAATTAAAATTAATAAAATATTTGAAAAACACAATGAACCAAGAAAGACTTTTAGCTTTGGCCGTTTTATCAATTGAATCAGACTTGGCATCTAGGCTGAATTACGATACCATAATTAAGGAATTTAGTAAAGTTAAAAGCAGGAAATTTCTGTTCCTTTAATAAAGAACACTAATTAATTTTAAGTATATTTACGCTAAGAAATGTATATCTCCACCTTTATATTTACGAATTGTAATTTTTCATTAATACTTATTAACCTAATTTGTATTTTTCTGGATAAAAACTTGGCAGTGTTAATTGTTTTGTTTGTTTTTATTATTTTATAAAATCCGTCTTTGGGTCGCCATAGAACAGGGCCTCGCGAAATCTGTCTTGCCCACATCAAATTTAGGTCTTGCCCCGCCGCTGATCAAACCCGTATCAACGTGGTGCTCGTACAAAACACGTGTGCGTGATATTTAGTCGTTATTTGTTATAAACATCAATAAACTCGTTTGTATGAAAAACTGAGTGCATACATACCAAATAGTAACTATATAGTAATATTTGAATGGGTTACCTATGACAGATCGAATAGTGAATGATTTAGAGGTTGTTTTTATTTTATATCAATACTTACATCTATAAAAGGACCTAAATAGCGCTGGAAATAAACATTCTTTGACAGAATCTAGCCAAGTAAAAATGTCTATTATAGTTTTAAACAGGGTTCAAAATTTGTTGTAGTCTGTTTTGCTCAAGTTCCTTCATAAAAAATATTATTAGAATATAGTTCTTTAATATCGAATTCGTCTAGCCAAGGCGAGCTCAAGCTATTACAATAAACGTAGTGGTTACATACTCTTTGTATTACAAATGTATGGTCAAATAGATTTGAATATTATCTTTTTTTATTACGTTCTAATTTTAAATGGCTACAAGGCACCAGTTCTTTGTGCCTATTTGAAGAAACAATATTATCTTCTGCAAACACATCAAGTGTCGGTTGTTGACAAATTACCTTTCACAGAACGAATACATGTCATGCCCATAGTTGTTTATTGTGTACTTTGCACACAAGCTAAATACACACATGCGGTATTAGTTCCCGTAAATATTTGTCGGCATTGACTGAATACGGGTATTGTAACAGAATCAGTTTACTTGAGACCCAGCTGTGTGCTTGCAGAAATTCGAAGTGAGATTACTTGTGATTCGGAGAAGACTGTTGTTCTCTCATAGGCATAGCATACTTTGCTTTACGAATATTTCTCGACACTATCTGTTAGAGCCTAATCCGATCAGAGTTAGCAATTAAATTATATTTTTATTGATTAATATATTAGATTCATTCGTCAGTTTACAGGCCGTGTTTAGAAACGAGGTTTTAGTTATTTTTTTTAGTAAAATCTTACGCCTCGCCGCCATCTATGGTAGATGCTACTGCCCGTTGGTACACGATCGAGTTTTGATCGAACCATCAAGCAGAGGGAATAATATATTGGCTTCAACAGTACCGTTATGCCTACAAATAATAGTGATTTAATTATATTTTTTAAACAATGTAATATAGAGAATATGTCATTTCAAATTTATAAGTAAGAGTGCTATCTCATTGAATTTATTAAGAAAAAAAATGATAAATTTCCAAATTATTCCTTCTTTGGTTATTTTGACGTTGACAGCGTAATGACATCTGTCAAAATATTTATTTGAGTCAATGCTGTCAAAATTCGTTTCGTTCACTTTCGCTTTATGTAACTGCGATTATTTTTTGATACTCGTTGATCCAACTAAAATATATCTTTAGGTACAAATTCAAAAGGTTATATCTCAACAGCAAATATTTAAACTTAATCCTTGTTGTAATGATCACATACCTCTTTTGTACCAAGTTGCGTACTTTCTTCTTCCATACAAATATTAAGAAGACGAATACTCCGAGTCCGATGTTCGATATGTCGGTGATAATCCAGTACAAGTTAGAGCCCCCGATAGCAAAACTAAGGAGTTCTACCGTCCAGTTCACTCCCATCACCATAAACAGCTTGAGGTAGAGGCCGTATCTGAAACATAAAATTCAAAATATAGGTATTTATTTGATATTTACCCTTGGTTTTAGAGGAGTACCGGCGGACCATTTGATGTTTCAATTAGCTTTGATTACAGTTTTTGCTTTGAATACACTAATTTGAAACCAAATAAGTATATCTAAGTATGTAGGGTGACAGTGGCCAATAGACAACAACGGTTTGGGTTCAGCCAGTAACAGGGTACTGTCTGCCTGGGCCTGTAGAGCAAAAGGACCGGGGTTTTTTTCAGTAAGAGACACTACTTTCTTCTCCCCCCATCCAAGGCGAGAAATTATATATATATATATATATATATATATATATATGTTTTTTTATGTAATATCTCGGTAAACGAGCAGACGGATTACCTGATGGTAAGCAATCAGCGCCGCCCATGGACACTCGCAACGTAGAAGTTACGAGTGCGTTGCCGACCATTTAGGGATTAGGGATTTGGAGATTTAGGGATTGAGGAGGGATTGGGGAAGGGGAAGGATTGGGCCTCCGGTAACCTCACTCACACGGCGAAACACAACGCAGTGGTTATTTCACGCCGGTTTTCTGTGAGGCCGTGGTATCACTCCGGTCGAGCCGACCTATTCGTGCCGAAGCATGGCTCTCCCACACTTAAGCATGGCATATAGGATCCTTTCAAAAATTTTACAAACGATGAAATCATTTAAATTAATAGATACCTATTATTAACAGATACCTATTATTAATAGATACATTTAAACTGGTATTATTTATTAACGTGTTGCACGATATCCTTTATGAAATACGGAACGTTCTCAAGACGTTGGCCAGCTGGTATTTTACACAAATAAACATATCTTTCGCTCGGGAAGTATTCTAACAATGGATATGTGTATTACGTATGTACACATGCATGTATGTACAACGCTTACTCAATCCCCAAAATGACTGTTTAAAGATTTAGACAATTTTACGATTGTTTTATGATTCATTCAACTAAGTAAACTGTGTAGTTAAAAAAATGGATGAGTTGAAGCTTAATTCGCAATTTGTTAAAATATTATGTCGTGTAGGTACTTACTTACAACGCATAAGTAGATATTATAATTATTATTGTCACTGATATAAATATATTTTTTGTTGTAATTTGCATTTAATATACGAATTGTTATTTATTTGTAGTTCAATAATACCTATAGAGGTTTTACATCTCAATATTTCTAACTTTTTGCCAAGTATTTAAAACTTCTTTCTTACTTTTTTATTGGCATTACATCATAAAGCTAGGTTTCTTTATAAACTGCCAGTAGGTAATCAAACCCGTTTTTAAACGTGTGGAAATCCTCATGGGTACCCTTTGTCTGAGGTAATCAATACCTAGATAACTAACGAAGAAATTAATTATTTGTGTAATCGTCTTACGGTAATCAGAAGTCTAGATATCTACGTCACAACACAACAAATGTCAAAGAATCTAATCAATTACTAATTAAGTAACACGTATTTTGGAACTGTAGGTACTATTATCCCTACTAAATATCACATGATTTTAGCTTCTACTTAAAAACAAAATAATATTATATATCTCGGATGAACAGCGTCAGTTAAGCAAATTGCTTAACAAGCTATTTAATTAACGGCTTGTTGCAATGATATTATAAGTAAAATGGTGGATAGATAGGTTACATACACATCATTCGATTTTCAAAAGCGGCACACTTATGCACACATGAACAATTCGTATAGACGTCAAAGTGAGATGGCATGATTCAATTATAGCGAGTGAAAAAGAGATAAATATGAAAAAGTGTGACTAGTTAGCCATATTTTAATGTATCTATCACTTGCTGAGCGCTTATGACCTATCTACACCTTTTTTACTTATAAGTAATATCATTGGCGTGTTGCATGTCTTCTTTTGTGACAACTCTTAAAACAGAAGAGTTAATGGTGCCAGGATAATGGATAAGGAGAACTTTTCTTTTTAATCAGGATCTACAGTAGAAACAACAATGAAAACACCGAAACACTGAAGCCCAGCGTATACAAGAGACATGAATGAATTGTCGCGGATCCCGCAACGAAATAAATCAGAAGATATTATTTGCGGAGAAGATAAAGCGAAATAGTTTTCAGTTTACATTTACATCGGTAAATTTAATGCAAGAGACAGTATTACTATATGTATGATTTAATTTACCTATATGCGGATTAAAATTTTAACGAAATCTAACCTACTATCCTGCTGGTATCACAGTATTAATAATAAGAATAAGTACCTTTACCCCTTACCTTACTGCTAGTAATTCAATCAAAAGATTAAGCATTGAGACCTAGCAACGCGTAAAAGGCTAAATGCTTAGTAAAAAAGCTTAATTTGACACTTGACACATACAAGCTTGCCTCTAACCATAATATGTATAAAGGATACCGTTAAGCTTCTGGCGTGACATGACATACCACGTACCTAATGTATTACCCGTCTTAACTTACTGAAGAGGTACATTCACTTACTGATGCTTTGTCAGCACTAGGTACCTACATAAGTAACCTTTCTTTACCACTTCAAACAAAAAAATAAAAAACCTATCCAAAAAGAAACGTAATAACCAAAGAAATTTTCTATCTTGAAAAGTTTTGTAGTCAAGATAAAAGTTAGAAAGCAATTCTAAATAAAATATCGTCCTCATTGAAAACGCCCACGGACCTACAGCACCGTTTTTTTGTGAGGGGAAAATCATCGAATTTCTTTTTCCGCCCAGGGTCGAGCGGGAGGGAGTGTCAGACTCTTACTGACTAAATCCCCCCATGCGATGCGAGCGAAGCATGGCTCTCCCTCACTTGTTTAATTATTTTGGGCCATTATTAAGACGTATAAAGATAACGTTTTAAGATCGATCTATTGTACGCGATTACTTAATAAATAGGTACTATTATTCTCCTCCTCTACCTTACGACTATTTTAATTGATTCAAACAAAGTTAATCTACATACAATTTGCATTCTGTTTAGAAGTTAAAATTACTTTCAAACACATTGAGATTAAGTAGCCTGTATCCTCCATAGTATCCAAGCAATCAAACTTCGTTTAGTGGCTTTTGTTCGAGCAGTCTGCAGATACAACCTGCACTGTGATATCTACATAGTAGTTTTATATGTGGCGTAGCGTGCTCATACTAACTTAACTTCATATTTACAAAGAATATAAAATCTTACCACCGTACTAACATAACAAATGTAAAACAACTAAAATCGTGCTGTTGATTAACGTTGAAGACATTTCAAGTTATAGGCATTTCTTACTGATTGATACAACCCTTATCACTCAATTCCATCCACATTGTTTAATTAGGTCTTTAAATTAATCTCTTAGCCGTAAAATTCGTCATGAACTTAATATTGAAGTTGCTCTCAATATAACACTATAAGAACCAGAAATATTTATTGCTTTTTTCAAGACGTATAAACTTATATTAAGAAGATATTACACAGGGAACCTCTAAGTATAGATACATATTGCGTATTTTTGTGCTACATAAATTTGTTCCATAACATGCTTAAATGCAGATAAAGTATAAAAAGTGCAAACAAAAAACAATCTTAACTTGCTAAGCAATAAAGTACGTAGTTAATTAATTACCTTTGTTTGTCTTTCTTAAGCTTGTCACTTCGCGACGACTCCGCGCCTTTCAAGATGGCAGTCTCCTGTCTAATGGAACGGATGCGGTACGCAGTCACGGTGAAGAATACCACGTTGCATATCACCAGTATTAGCACAGGAACGAAGAAGTACACGAGGTCACTCACCCAGTCTAAGTAAAAAGAAAAAAAATTATCTCAATTTGGAATCTAAATAAAATAATGCCTTATTACGATTGATGGTTTATTTTTTTAGACGAAATCCATCAGAACTCTTGGTAAACAAAAATTAACTTTCGTCAAAACCAAACGAATGTTCTTTTCAATTAACTCCTAAGTTTAGAAAGATGGAAAAGTTAGGACAGATAATGGAACTAAGATAAAGCCTGTCAGCTACCGGATAATTGATTTCCGAAAACAACCCACACGCTCGAGCGACGATTCTCCAGCATATTTTGCGAAATGGGTTTTAGATGTTTCTGGCACAGCACAAAGCTGACAGAGGCTTGTGATAACGCTATAAAAAGGATTGGCTATTAGGTATTAATATAGTTTATATTCTGCTTAGGTTTTATATTATACATTTCCCCATGATAAGTTTTTAATAATTAAAATTCAATTTGCTTTGCTTTGAACACCTAGCAACCCTATTTCGCACTACAATAGAGCTACGATCACATATAAAACGAACCAAAGTTGTGTTAGGGTTGAACGTCGTATTGTGGCATTCATTTTATATGAATGAGACCGCTTTACGCTTCTGTAAATCCATTTTTCCGTTGCATTTTTATATTGGTATGTGAACCGTCATATTTTTTTATGCGAAATATGAATAATCTTTATAGGAACGGTCTGTATGATTAAAGACATACTTATTTTTCCTACTAAAAGTTATTCTTTATGATTGTTTATATTTCTCGTGTAGGGATTACTTTGTTACTTTTTTACTGTGAATGTTATTAGCAATGAGCCTTGGGAACGAATAGGTTGCAATTTTGTAATTATTGCTGGCTGGAAAGCTTAGTTAATGGCGGACATAACACGACATTGTTGATACTGTGGCTAAGTACTAATCAATACTGTTTGACGGTCACCGTAAAATATACAGCTCAGTAAATCATATGAAACAAAAGTTGTAAGTACGTAATAACTTCTGTATTTTAGTAGGAGACGTAAATTTGGTGGTTACGTTATTTTATTATTTCATTTCACTCGGATTATTATGTAGGTATTATGACATACCCTGGCAGACATACAAGTTTTGATACATTAAATTTAAAGTACATCTTCATAGGTATAAAGATTAACATTTATCACAGGATCGTGTGATCCTGACATTGTAATATGAACTTTATTGATAAAAAATTAACACCACTTACCAACAAACCAACACCTCTTAGTTCCAAATCCAGGTTTGATGATATGCGCGGGAAGATCTCCGAACTGCATGCCAGCTGTGATCCCAGTGAGGATGAGAGGGACGCCCCAAGCATAGAGGCCGTATAACAGAAACCTCCTTCGTTCTCTTCTCTTATTGGTGCTGCCACCCCGATAGCCACTGTTATTTTTAACAAAGTTTTTATAAGATCTGCAATTGAAAGCCGAGGTTTGTACCCCAGCAGATTACGATTGATATGGTGGATAGAATTATAGTCTTTGTATTGATTTATGTATTTGATGGAGGCTACTATATTTACATCTATGGAATAAATAAGATGGAGAGGGTTTTTAACGATTTGGGACTGAAGTTAGCCGAAGTAAAATTTGTTAGTGAAATTCTTTGTGATATGGGTGAGAATTTATAGAGATCGTAGCAAGACTAAACTTAACTAAATTCACAAAAAATAAAACCTAATAATTTGTTACCTAACTACTATTAATAGATCCAATGTAATATATGTCTGAAACCTGTAAGGATTCATATTCGCAATAGAAAAGTCACTTTTTCGGTTAAGAAAACCTGGACTTTTATGTTCTAATTATAAGTTTGGAATCGCCTTTCCACCTTGAGCAAGCTTGGTGTTTCATTTTCAAACCTGCTACGTGTGGGACGCCCTTTCTCAGCAGTTGGCACTTATAGGCAGATGATGTGTGGTATGAATATATGTATGTATGAAACCTGCAGGGTTTTAGTTACAAATGGAAAGCCCCACTGTTTCAGTAAATAATATGAAAATAATGGCAAGATTATGGATCTTGTCTATTCAAACTTTTAATGGTGCCTTTATAAAGTTTTATTCTCAAAACGTTCTGTGTGATGAAAAAACATTAAAAGGATAGAATATAATATATTTCACAGACTATCAACACCCTATCCGTGCACACCACACAGGATTTGCAAAATAAATAAGGATAATAATGCCAGAAGCACGGATATATTAACACCTTGAATAAGGCTTATAAATAAGACGGTTTTAACAGTGCGTGGGTGCTTTTCTCGGTTCTCCTATATTGTCTCATACACTAGTGAATAATTAATTTAAACTTCAAGTAATACATTGCCAAGCTAAATATATTTTCAGCCACATCTATCACAGCCTTATTAGAACCGCTCCAAACAGCCAGTCTTTACATCGTGACCCGGATTTAAGTGGGCCCTGAATGGAATATAAAGCACCTCTGGGAACTATTGAAACTTCGGTTTTGTACCACGTATTTTCAGTTATTGTATTCAAGATTATTAAGGTATTCATATACCAACATAGTTCGTGTCTCAAGTCTATACTAATATTATAAAGAGATAAAATTTGTAAGTTTGTATGTAGGGGGTAATCTTTGGTACCGCTTTTCGGATTGCCAAAATTCTTTCACTGATAGAAAGCTACAATGTTCCTGAGTGCTATAGGCTACAAAACATCATGCTACGATTAAATGGAGCCGAGCAGCGGGTGAAACCGCGCGAGAATAGCTAGTTCTTTATAAATATCCTTTATTTAATGTATCGTCAATGTACTAGGTATCTCATATAAAATAAAGTAAAATACTTTTACAACAAAATATTTTTTCACAATGTATTAAAGATATTTTTTATCGTCTACTACGACGCTCGTAACCGAGTTGCTACGACGCGTAGCTCTTAAGTTAAAGGTAGTAATAACTTTCTCGTAGCAACTCGTAGCAGATCCGCAGTAGCTTTCTTTATCACCAAAAATATTTTTACTTTGTAGTATTTTACGTTATACTTTATATTTATTTATTAGGAGTTTATAAAAACATTGTGTTATAATATTTGTTTAATTTTCCTTATAACTATCAATTGATCCATTGACGTACGACATGATGACGCAGTTTAAAAATATAGGAAAAACATTAATGAAACATAAAACTACTATTTACATACTAACAGTACAGCACCTTACCTTTGCGACTGTTGAGCCAAAGTCCCAACTCTTCAATAGGAAGCATTAGAAACATAATTAAAACATGAACATTTATTTATCTAGACACATTTGTATTGAAATGTATTCAAAACTTATTGATCATTACATTTTGATGTTCTACATTACATATTATCGTCCGATATGCTTTATTATCCAATTTATGTCATATGAATATGAATAGCACTTAAAATTCATGACAGAATGACCTCCAAAGATAATGGAAACACCCTGTATATAAGAGTGTAAAATTACAGTAATGTAATGATACATTTTAATAGCATCACATTACCTAATCGAAAAGCTTGACATGACCTGTGTTAAATTATACCTAAGTCTAGATAAAATTAGAAATCGGACATAATGAAATTTTAATTCGAGTGTTTCTATCCATGCACTAAATGTCGACCTTGACAGCCAATTGGGTTATTCTGTAAACACTTACGCATTCATAAAATTAATAATAGACATTTTAGTGGAGCAAAAACTGAATTTACAATAGGGATGGCGATAGTTTTTTAATGTCCTTCTTTGTAATTGATTTTAAAAATAATGTTTTTTATAATTTCATTTTCGACGATACATTGATTTGAAATATTGTATGACGTCACAAATTAAACTAGATTTTATACTTTAAATAAGTATATAACTTTAATTCATTTGATAAAAATATTGATGCGTTGTACAATAAAATAAAAAAATACGTGAGACCTCTTTTCATTAATCTAATTGAGACTGAATATTTTTTTAATTGCCATACTCTGCCATTATTCCTATTATCTTAGATATACAGCTTTACGATTCTGAATAATGGTTATAGAATGACCCAAGAAGTAATTTTATTGGTCTTCGTATATTATAGAGGTCGTACTCTCCGAAAGTGCTGTGGACACTACATTTGACAGTAAAGATGATATATCGAAGTAACACAAGCTACAACGAAAAATCAAATCATTATCATTATACCTAACTAACTACATAGAGAACAGAACAACTAACTATAACAAACCATTGAAATACGTGAGCAATTTAAAAATTAACAAGCATACAACTGATTCTTGAGAGTTAAAAATAAATGTGACTAATTTTCTAGAAGTAAGAACTGCATAATATATAATGTATTTGCGAAACTGCGTCGTGGTTGCGAGTTAATATAAACATACGTACGCTAATGTATATAAGTGTGCATACGCATATATAATTCTGTTTTTTGTTGCGCTTAACCACGGCCACGTGGCTTACTTTACTTTTAAAACGCAAATGGTATTGCTAACATAACTAAACATTCTAGGGTTGCCTACTAAACATTACTAAACATTCTAAATTTGTATAACAAGGACCTATGCGAAAAAAAGTGACAATGAAATATCTCTATCTACGTGTTTCTAAACATGCAACACATTCTATTACCTACTAATACGTTTTTGCTTGATATTTTCGAAAACGGATTACCACATAAAATATATAATAGAAAATTATAAAATATATAATAGAAAAACTACAGTAACAGAAATCAACAGACATTCAATACAACAGTGCAAACACATTCAGATACAAAGCAAGGAATCTTCTTTTTACTTATCTCAAATATATTTTCAACTATACTTATGCGTATCTCACACCAAGACACACTGACTACAAATAAAAATAATGTGCGACAAAGTCTACTCTATTACGAAACTACATATATCTAGTTGCCTTGAAAATACTTCAAAGTGTGAACTAAACATTTTTTAATTCAACTGCAGACTGAAAAGCTGTATTGATTTATTATTTACTTTAAATGTGGCAATGAAAATTAAATTGACATTGTAGCAGCCTTGATGCCATTTTTGCAGTCTATTTAAAATAACTACTACTAATACTACCTAGTACTGAGTGATTTTTTTTCATGTAAGTAAGATAAAACATCTACTCTACTCTACATCATACTATATATCGCTTAAAATACGCGGCTCGTCCAAAACGGAGCTGGGACGTTGCCCAAAATAAGATAAAATTATGAGTAGGTATTTATCTCAAACAGTCACTTGTGTTTAAATGTTTATTATGTTTTTGTAAACATCTTTATTATTTTTTAAATTAAGTTTTTTTTTATTTTAGAATAGTCTAGCGCTCTTTTGAACGGGCCGGCAAATACCATTCTAGTAAAATGCATCAACTTACTAGCGTAATAAAATCGATGGTACGTATTCTAAACGATTTTCTACAAAATATTTACTCACTCTGCTGATTTTAAACTTCCTTTATAACTAAGTTGACTGACCTCTACTCTGTAATTGAACGACAGTATTCGTATGAAACCACCTCGTCTGAAATGTGAAATATATAATTGATGCCATGCATATTTTTCATCGATTTTTTGTTAACTTCGTCTAAAATATGGACGAAAATATGATGAGTTTTATATGTAGGTGTTTTTTTCTTGACGTCATCTTATAGGGATTTAAAACAATAGAATTTGCTGTCGTTTTAGGATCACTTGCCCAAATCGCGCGTACAATATTAACATCTACCTATACCTATATGTAAAAATGTCACATACAGACACGGCTTCGCAGACATATGTAATCATGTATGTAGTTGTAGTTGTAGTTAGAGTCTGACAAACCAAAGTTTGAATTTGTTCAAATGTTTTTATATGGAAACTTTCTTAAGTGACACTCTTTTTGAATAATAACCATTCTATTAATAATGAAGACTGCAATTTAACATACGGCTTGAAATACATAGGTAAGTGTTAACCTCATGTTTACCCATAGGAAGTGTTAAGTGGTAATAAAGGTAAAATAACCATAAAATTATAAGGTAGAGGTCACACTTCTTGCGATAGTCTCCATCCAGTCTGACATACTAAGAGAACCTTTTTTATGACATGGTAAGCAATCGGTGTAGCCCATAAATATATAGGTACCACCAACACCAAAAGTATTACGAGTGCGTTGCCGGGTTTTTGGTGAATAGCGTTTTGGAGATTTAGGGATTGAAGAAGGCTAGGGAGAGGTGAAGGATTTAGGGTTATAGGTGATTAGGCTCCCGATAGTCGCACGGCGAAACACAACATTGTGGTTGTTTCCGGCCAGTTTCTGTAAAGCCGTGTTATCAATCCGGTCGAGCCGTTCCATTCGTGCCGAAGCATGGCTCTCCCATACTTGAAACCTTCCAACCTATGCCGAATGACTTTCATTTGTTATTTCTTAAGTCTTTTGTTTTTTTCTCATTTGAGAACAGCGTCGTTGCCTCTACCAATCATTCCTGAGGGTGTCAGGCGTCACAAAACAGATGGGAACATTAAATAAAACACGAGACTAAAATGTATGATTGCAAAAAGTCCTAAGTAGTGGTAAAAAAAGTGCACCGAAACGATTCTTAAAGTTTTAATAACTTAAAACATGCTATTGTAATTTATGATTTTGGTCTATTATAATCACTAGGGCTTCAATGTAAAAAAGGGGATTTTTCGTTTGTTTTTTTTTTTGCTGACATTCCGAAATTTGCACACCCACATGTACCTACATGCATCATAGCGCAACATAACATGAAGTGAATGTATCGTACCATTTAATTAAACAATTAAACATTAACGAGCAATATCGAGCATAAATATAGCAGTTCGAGCACACGAGTAACATGCCATTACAGACATCGACCTGTAAACTAGGCTTAGGAACCTACAGGTGGCAGCTGACTCTGACAACGTTCAGACACGGCGTGGCTGATCTGCAATCCAAGGCATATGTCAATTAAAATTTTGTTTCATCAATTTTGAATTTCGAAATCCGATTGGGTAGTTTCCTAGGTCAAAAATAAATTATTTCGACGTTTCAATACAATAAAATATTGAAAAATAACTAGGTAAGTATACTTTTATTCATCGATCGATCGATACACTGAATTTTAGATATATTTTAGCTAATTTTTAAGAAATAAGTATGCGATTTGACGCCAAAGAACTATGACGTCATAAAACTCAGTTTTTCATACAAATCTCGTAGAAAAGTATCGTTTTTGACATTTGGATAAAAGTATTGAATTTGACTAGTTGGAAACTACCGTATTGTGTTTTTAAATGTCCCGGAACACAAATAAAATTGCACAATTTTAATTGATTCGATTCAAATTTAGATAAGAACTTCTTTTTTATTGTTTATAAATACCCTTGGGCTAAACATAGACACACCCACAACTAGCGCAGCATAGCTTTTAATGGAATAAGGTCCATGAATCTAGGTAAATGTAACAGCACTCATGTGAACTCATATCTGTTATATCACATAAGCTTGATTCGTTGATAATGGCCCTCCACTTCAGAGTAGGGCTAACAAGCATAAAGACTATCAGTGTTATCGGACGTTTAACATGGATCAATGTATGCAATATTAGGTATGAACCCATTGAAAAATGCGAAACCGACATTTCGGTATCCAGCAAAATAATTTTATCTATAGGGAAAATATCAAATAGTAGGTACCTATGAGTACGACCGTAAAAGTGGAACTTTTATTAAGATTATAAATCATTCTTTACCGTCAAGCGTTTGTAATATTGCTTTGCAGATAGGACGTTCACCTAATAGATATTTGAACACCTAAAAACATACTTATAGGACTACAAGGTGATTATTCGTCTGACTAAATTCATTGTCAAAACTGTTCTAGTAATAATTCAGAAGGGATCGATAGTCTCACTTTTATAAAAAATAAATGTTTCAGAATTAAAAAAAAAAAGAAAAAAAAAGACAATTGTCTCCGCCATCTTGGTCGATGTAAAGAACGCCTTGCCATTCTGTTTTTATTTATTGCAATCAAATCCTAAGTTGTTTACCTATTGGTGATGTATGTGTTACCACACAAAGAGGAAATAGCTTCGTATTTAATCAAAAGAAAATAGGTAATAATTGAATAATAATAAATAATTTGTTTACATATTCCGTTCTATAAAGAGAAGGAAAATGAAATAGTATTGGCTGGAAACAACCTATTGAAAATTACGAGCTCTTGTTATGCCAGTGAATGAGGAAATATAATTCGTTATTCCTCATTGAAGCAATAGGAGAAACTTCTTATGTACCTATTTGATTATAATTAGATATAGTTCGATTGTTAATAGCAAAAATACGCTAGCCAATAAAATAAAAACGGAATGTCTTGTCAATGACATTCGCTATTTTCTTTCACGCGAATGGAATTTTATAGCATTTTGTGACAAAAATAAAAACTATTAAATAGTGCTGCGCTGCGGATGAAGCTTGTTCATTGCACTCTTTGTTTATGGTATAGCATAGTGGATCAATAAAATGCACTGGTGGTGGTGGGCCGTAGACTTAGAAAAAAGCCACCAACCTCATTCTTTTATTCGTAGTGCTTTTAACGCTATTTAAAAGATTGTGTTTTTAAGGAACCTAATTTTGATACCTATTTATTCTTTTTTACTTTAGATGGCGAACTGTAAATTTAAATTGTTCTATTTTTGAAATTACTTAAGATTTTTTTCTCGAATAAAATAATAGTATTGATGTGTTGGGAAATCTTATTTCAGACATACTGGCAAGTATATTGCAGGCATGTTAGTGGCCAGTAAAGCGCGATATTTTTGGTCATATTTCTCTAAGTGACAAGTTTTTATTTAGCAAAGGATCATTCAAAGTAATGCTGTTGCTATTTCACTTAACTTAATCTAGTAATATTAGTATATCGCTGAACTTGGACCGTTATGTAACTATATTCCTAGAGCGGTAGCAATGCATTGCTTTCATATAACTATATAGGTATTATTATTACGCTACATAATCATATAACTATATTACAGCTTTATCTATCTTACTGCGACATATACATAGGTTTGCACAACAATGTGGGTTTTAAAGCGTCACAGATGTTAGACTTAGCGCCACTGATTATATTTTTTAGTTTATATACATATATTCCCACGCAGATTCCCACGCGTTGTAAAACCTTCATGTTGTCAGTTGCCGGGCGTCGCCTTGTATCCGCAGATATCCTCAGATATCCGTAGATATCCGCCGACAGTTTTTATCACATTGTGGCCATACATCTTCTGTGCCTCCTATCGGTTATATTTGTATTACAGCATGTGGGATCGATAATACGATGTAATATTTTATCACATGTTTACCAGAACGTAGCAATTTCTACATATTACATATTTTACATGGAGTATTCAAACTATTTGTGCTTACTTAAACATATCTAGAGTTGTAGAAATAATGTATAATTAATATGTTGCTAGTCAAGTAACTCGTTACTTGTTAAAATGTCTCTGACACTAAAATCTCTAACTATAAATCAGCTTTAAAAATGAGTATGAACTTTAACTCCCGAGTTAATAAGATAGATTTTTACTAATTGACACACACTAGCACCAATGCCGACGATTGGTGTTAGTGATTCCTATGCATCTACGTACCTAGTACGTACACACATAATGTTTTGAATGTATGTGAGCGGCTAAATATGTGTGAGTGTATTTTATTTACCTGAAAGTCCTCCAAATATCGAAGCACATGACGTTTAGCCAGAAGAATGACGTTTGGAATGCGTAGTAAACGATGAACGCTGAAAAAAAAAAGTAAATATAAACATTATAATGAAATGAATCGACGTCCCATACTCTATAGATGAAAGGGAACCACATATACGTACCTACTTAGTTACATAACACAGGTACAAAGATAATAAATAAACAAAACGTGCGAGAATTTCTCTCATTGAAATCTAGGTCAACTGTTTAAGCTTCGGAGAATTTATTGACAGACGCTTTGGGTATGGGAATGAAAATAAATAGCTTAATATTGCGACATTAATTAATGATTGATTGTATTTTTTTTTAGTAAAAACAAACCTCTTTACTTGGTATCTTTGAGTGGTAGGTAACAAACATATTGCGAAACTCGCCAAGGTATAATCTATATCCCAAGATATCAAAAAGTATAGCCCTCAACAAAAAATGAATAAAAGTGCACTAGTTGTAGCTAATAATGTGCAACACAAGTTTAATACATAAAATTATTAGATACCTTGAAATACTTATATATAAGAATATTATAAGTAAAAAGGTGTAGATAGGTTACAAGCGCTCAGCAAGTGATACATGTATGAAAAAATGTGGCTAACTAGCAACACTTTTTCATATTTGTCTCTTTTTCACTCGCGATTATTTTATCATGCCATCCCACACTTTAACGTGTACCATACGATTTAATGACGTGTGCATAAGTATTCCGTTTTTTAAAATCAAATGTTATTTATGTTACCTATCTATACCATTTTACTTATTATATTATTGCTTATATAGAATACAATGATGATAAGTTTATCATTACCATTCAAAGACGCGAAACTGAACGCAAGACGATGATGGCAACATTTTGGCACCTAAATTCGTTTTAAAATAAACGCTAGGAAGTACTTGTTCACTTTTGTAATTCAGTTCAGTTCAGGGAGGAAGTAACCCTATTGTGCGTCTGAGAACAATTCCCTTTTGATCATGTCATTAACCTATGTCGTTAATTAGGTGTAATTTATCAAGTTGAATATATGCTTATGTTCTTAATACCTTTACTGATCTACAGAAAGGTCGTTTGAACGTATTTTTATGTGATGTGTCGGCGATCGGAATACCTGATGGTAAGCAATCAGCGTCGCCCATGGACCTGCAACGACGGAGGAGTTACGAGATTTGGAGACTTTGGGAATGGGGAGGAATTGGGGTAGGGGAAGGATTGGGCCTCCGGTTACCTCACTCACGCCGGTTTTCTGTGGGCCGTATCATCCGGTCTAGCCGACCCATTCGTTCCGAAGCATAGCTTTCCCACATTTAGATTTATATCTTTATTTCTGGAAGTTTATCTTGCAGATATTTTGAGTTCTTAGGACAGAAAAATAGTGCCTAGACAGATACCTATATCTTAGCGCTTTTCTAATCTTCAAATGGCAAAAATAACAACCTAAAATGATGAATTCAGGACTATTTTTGAACAGTTGATTCGGGTAACGTTCGCGGTTTCACAGAAAAACAAGAAAAACGGGTTGTTAGCATATGTCGTAAAGTCGAAAACCCTGCAGTCTTTGGCAATCCTACGTAAGTATATAAGTATCAGTATATATGAAACTGCTATACGAAAAACGACCTTCGGCAAATTGCAATGGAAGCGAACCATCTGGTCGATTGACGCGCTGTTTTTTTTTTCTTTCATTCCCAAATCAATCGGGATATAAATATTGCAACACAACGTATATTTTTCCGGAGTTACCACGAAGTGGTAGGCGTTCGAGTTTGAAACGAGTAGTTTGCATTGAGTAATAAATACGTGAAATATTACAATGCTACGCGTATCAGTGCGTACTATGTATACTACCAAGAATAGGTCCTTGTGACTAGTTTCTTTATAGCAAACTAACTGTTCTTTATTTTTTTCTAACTATGCTAGTTCTTTAATTTTCCGTCAAACTTACATTGTCTATTTTTCAATTTACTTAATAATCACACATTGTACGTAATTTGTGGATGACACGAAGTGAATCGACCTTTTTTGTAGGGATAATGATAGAATGTATCCCTTTGGGCAAAAAGAAGAGTCACCTCTATAAAAAAATATTCATTTTGTTATCATTTTTATTAATGCCTACCTATATAAAACCTAAGGTAATCATTCAAGAAGGATTTACACCAAATATTTTTTAAGTTACTGATGAGTATATTTAGCCAATTATTTTGGCTTTATGATCAGACATGAATATGACTAATTATGTAAATAAATGACTCATGAGTCTTGAATGCATAAGTCACATTAATTAATTAATTGTATCATTTTATTTGTTTCCTTAATAAAGGCAGTGTTCCCCGTATTGAATGTATTGTAGACGTCAATGTTCTGTCTAATTAGTACTATACTTATTAATTGCTTATAATTATCACGTGAAGGTATGTATTTCTCGGAATAGTTAGGCAGATTTGTTCAGGTGTTCATAAAATGTTAATAACTTCTTGAGTCATATCTACTTATATTGATTTATGACCGAAATCTTTAGATCGATGTTAATTTTTGAAACTAGAATCTCAATAGAATTTGTGCCTAGTCCTGTCCACAGATTTCAGTTTAAGATCGGCTTTTACATGGAGTTTAAAAAAGAAAAAAAAGAAGTTTTTATAATAACTAACGTGAGACATACTAAATTAACTAAAATTCGCGGGTTACTCACGTGTGAATGTTGAGATAAGCTCTACTAGTTTCGAACGCGCGCGCGTCAGTAGGCTGCGCGACGTCACCGCGTCCGCGCACGCTGCTCATGAGGAAGAACCCCTCTGTGGTTCGAAACTAGTAGAGCTTTTCTCAACATTCACACGTGAGTAACCCGCGAATTTTAGTTAAAAAAAAGAAGATTGATTTTTTACCTAACTTACATATAAATAAGACTGTTCTCCTTTCGGTGTGGATTTTACTTCTCTTTTTTTAAGGGAAAATGACCTCAAATGACTATCTTCTCCATACGTGAGATGAGAGGGAGTGTCAGACTGTTACTGACTAAAACAACTCTGTGCCTTCTCCTCCTCCGAGCTTGAGTCACGGAGAAGGCTACAGGCAGGAATTATAATCTTTTTTACTTAAACGCAAATCATGATGCTCCCGACTAAAGGAAATTGAACCTTAAGTGAACTTAACGAGCTCTTTATTTAAGTAAACAATATCTCCATTAAAAATTCAAAAATTTAAAAAGAAGTTCCAAATATAAATGAATAAATGGTCTGAAATAGCCTCTTTAGATTGGCTGACAGCATCTGTCATACGTGCGACCTATTTCAATTGTCCAATATTTTCAATAACTTCAAAATTAGAATACCTACTTATATGATACCTATTAGAAATAATAGGTCTTTACCTATGAAATTGCCGTTCTACAGTACTGGCCATTTCAAATCAAAATACTTTTTGTTAGGCTAAGGCTAATTAATTTTGTTTTAAAAACATGGGATTCTTTTTTCAAAAGTAGGTACCTAGCCATTTGTTAATTGATTAGTGTTACATTTTCATCGCATTTCAAATCAAAAAATTCGTTTAATTTTTTTCATGCAAAACGGCAATTTCATAGTTAAAGACCTATTATATATAATATTTCCCTCCGTTCCCTCCTACATTCCGTACATTGTTATCTCGGAATTTATTTGAGCGTAAACGTTGGGGAATTATCCAGATCTGATCTAATGCCAAACGTCTGCCATATCGAAATAGATTATTATAGGAACAGCTTGCTTTATCATTCTAATCTATACTAATACCAATACTAACATACTAATACTAATAATATTTAATAATATTATCTTCGGGACTACTGGTTCGAATTAAACACTTCTTCTTGTTTATTATATATATTATATTATTATTATTAGTCCATATATCAAGGAAGTCTATAGACTATAAAACATGATATGATCTGCAAGAGTCGAGCAATGGGTGAAACCACGCAAGAATACCTTTATATAGCTATGAAACGGTTCGTCAATATGAAACCTATGCTTGCTAAGTTCAAATTCAATAGATTTGTTATAAAAATTTAAAAATCTACAAAATTTTGCCTTTGATTAAAAATACCATTGCGTCATCCACCGAATCACTACTGCGAATTAAATGCTCAGATCAGACGGAGATAAAGGAGGTTTCATTTTGAAATATTCGATTAAAACACGTTCTCCTGTTGTCATTCCATATTATTTTCTGTCTGAGATTTTGTTCAGTCTTGCGGGTAGGTAATATTATGAAGACTCCACGAAGATGACGATTATACCAGGACAGAATTTCGACTATGTATCAGGAAGATTATACTAAAACATAGTACAATGTCGCAACATCGAACGCGGTTAGTACTTGGATGGGTGATCGCCTGAGAATACCGCGTGACGTTAGCTTTTGCAGCCGTGGTCGCTGGGTAGGCACTATAAGGCACCGCGGCCTCAGCCTAGAGCAGGAGAAGGAACGGGGGGGATTTTCCCCACTCAAAAAAGCCATAGAGCTAAGTCGTCCTTCCTACTGACTTCCTTTCGTATAGTGACTAAATATTACGTTTAACTCTTTACAATACACATGTGTCATATAATTGGGATGATATAAGATCACATTACGGTGTGATTGATATCAATTGTCTGGTTGTCTGGGTCACATTCGTTTGTTAACCTCATGTGAAGTGTGATTCGTAAAGAATAAACCCGTAGGCGGTACGGAGATTTGACTTCGTACAATTTAAATTCAAGTATGAAGGGGATTGTCCGTTGAAGTGTCGTCATTCAGTACCTATTTGAAAAAAGAACTGGCGTAAACCGTATTGGTCAAAATTTTAAGTCAAATCATTTATTTCAAACAAATCACTGGCACTTTTTAACGTCAACAAAAATAAAACATCTAGTGAAGCTATTTACTCGTTTCAAAATGTAGATTCCTATGGAGAAGAACGAGCAAGAAACTCCATGGTTACTTTTTTCTATCAGTATTTACCATTCATTTAATTGTTACATCATTTAGTTCGGTTTATTGTGTGAGAACAGTGTAACACTAATTGGATACTACTACTATATTTTTGGGTGGGTGGGGTGAGATGCTAATGTTAGACTCTTACTGACTAAAAACAACTTCCCTTCTCCTACACCAGGCCGGGACTACGGAACTTTATTGCGCTTAACCCTCTTTCTCAAAATTCCGGATGAAAGGGTTGCCTTTTTTCAAGAGTTTTGAGAAATTGAGATCCGCTATTTCGTTAATTTTAGATGTTCTATGGGCGGTATAAAGAAAAGAATCTCTTTCATATTAATTCCACTATTTAAAAAGACGATTGTCGTCGTTGTTATGACAGTTGCGCTTCTTCTATATTTAAAATCAAGGTAATACCTACGTAAAGTTTGTAAACGTGAACTGCAATGTTATTAATAGGATTATTGCTTGACATTTTAGAACCGTTGCAATGTTCGCGACATCGGTCGTTTGGTAGAGTACTAGATCAATTTTAGGTAAGTACATACAATTACTAAGACTTTTTATTTTGAAACTGTTGTTTCAATAATCAATGGCACGACACTAAAACAATACAGTATTTGTAATAAGAACCTAGTTTTTATTTTAAGAATAAAAAGAATCTAGTTAAATAATAATTTTGACAATGATACCTAAATAATCTTTAGATTTTCTTTTGACAAAAAAGCAAAGCATTTTGCAAAACGTATTTACCTTAATGTAACTGGTATGTTAATTAACGTTTAAAACTCAAAGCTGAAATAAACGCAAAGAAATTAATGATGGCCGGTTTGAATTTTCATAAGTTCCGACCCTCACTAGGGAATGGCCTAACATTCATTCGTATGGCGAAAGGCCTGCACGAAAATTTAATTATGCTCTGACTTAATTTGACCTGTGAATAAAATTATTCAAATGAACAAAGTTTTTTCCTACTTTGTCACAAATGAAAGTAAAATAATTATAACTAAAAGCTGGACTACATTACACCTAACAACGTATATTTATTGCCCAAAAAATAAAAACACGCGATTGCAATGCAAACTATTTGTTATATAAACCTCATTGGACACTTTCATGACATTTGTGCCAGCCAGTACGTATATGAAATTCTTCTAGGTAGGTACTCATGTACCGACAATACACATGTTTTTTTAATTACATTAGCGGATCCAATATCTGTGTTATACACTCAGGTAAATTACGTTGACCAACTATGGAAGGTGCGGCCATGTCCGTAATTATTCAGGATATTAGCCGTGATATGTTTTTCACTAGTGAAAATAAGACAGATTGTTTAACTTACATAACAAAGTAGGTAGGCACCTGTAGCGATGATTAGCTAATTACTAACTACTAATGAGGGTCATCCTACTAAATGACAAGACGAACTACATATTAGAAAGAATTTATGATAAAAGTATTTGGTTCAACTAAGTGATACGTTAGCGAGAATTACGAAGTAGCGGCAATATTCAAAGTTCGGGGATTTAATCAAAGATTTTATGATCGGACGATAAAATCGAGAACAAGAATGGCCTCTTGTGATATTTAACCCAATTTCGATTAAATCCCGGTGTTACTAGCCTATAAGCGTGTGCTCATTAATATTAATAGTTTCAGTCTACCGTAAGATTGGTATTTAGTTCCTAAATACCTAATTTAAATATCAACACAAACAAAAGAAAGGTGTGTATTTAAAAAAGAGGATATTTTATGATATATTAAAACGATATTTATGTCACAGAAATATCTAAACAAATAATAAAAGCTAATAAACCTGCTTTAACTATCACGATAAAAAGATGGCGCTTTTATGAACGCAACCATAAACTAGGTAAGCAAGCAATTCGCGCGCTTTTCCATCAAACTAAAAATAATAACCAAAGAGTAAAGTAATATAGCGGGAGATAATAACCAATAAACGCCTCGCTTCTGATTTTAGTGGAGTCTATTAGAGCTACCAATTAACTATTCGATTAAATGTTAATGGGAATCATAACAATAACATTTATTGCTAGCTGGTTGAGCACTAATATAATGGAAAATAATACGGAGAAAACATTCTTTGCATTTGCAACTCAGTTAAGTGAAGAACAAATTAAGAAAATTGTATGACAAAGAGAGAAAAAAGTACAGTTGAAGATTACTTAGTCGTAGATATTTCGTTGTTCAGTAACTGGACAGCACATAGATCTCGACTATGATATAACTAATGTTTGAAATGCGTTACAAATCCTCAGTAAATTGCAAGCTCGTCATACGTGCGTACTGGAAATTGGTTTGATGCGCGAAACTGTTGCTACACTGCCACAGAATACCTACATATTACATGTACCTATGTGTGTCTTTACTTTACTTATAAGAGGTTTTTTTGTCAGGGGACAATCATCAAATGACTTCTCCCGCCCTGGGCCGGGAGAAGGGAGTGTCAGACTCTTACTGACTAAAAACCCCGTTCCTTCTCCTGCTCTAGGCCGAGCGCATTGCGCTTACCCGCAACCCCGGCTAAGCATCAGCCTTATAGGACCTCGTCTGTGGTACTTAAAAGAGGTGGTTGCGTAATATATGTTTCAGTTGTTCTCTGCCATACAAAATATCAGACTTTTATTAGTTTTTATTTTCATTATACAATGTCGGAAAATTAGAGCCCAATACTACGTATCTGTATCAAACCAAAGAAAAAATTGTCATCACTCTTACGTACCATCAACAAACTAAGCAGTTTTAATAATAATAACAGGTTCAAGATGGCTACCAGAAAATAAATCAGTTAAACTTACCAACAACCAGACAGCCTGTCATCTCAACGCCAACCCTTCCAATATGGAGCTTCAGGTAAGCCAGGAACGGATAGGCTACGATCAGGCCGCCGCAGTACGCCATCAGACACATGCCGTGCAGGTTCCTTAGTTCGGGAATGAAAGCGTAGATCAGGAATGTTGCCAGAAGGAATGGAACTGAGAGGATTAAACCTGAAACAAAATTGTTGCTGTTACTATAGATAAATACAATGGTGTACAGGACATAAACCAATTAACCACCATAAACCAGCCATAAACTTTGGGGTAGCGTTTAAAATAAGTTAATTGCCCTATAGAGCTGGTAGAGTGGACGTGTTTATCAACTCCACCCTTGTCGATATCTAAGACACCTAACCGAGACTGGACAGCAAAGCTTCTTTGATAGCCCTAAGCTAAGCTACTTTTTCCAATTCGCTTGCAAAGAGGAAGGAGGACGTTATTAAAAACTCATCTTATTTATTATCCCAAAATGATCTCTAACGGGCTGTTGAAGTCGATAGTCGATGCTACTTTAGGTTCATCTTTAATAACTTATCCCGCTAAAGATTTACAGCTATTAGCGATAGCCTATATTAGCCATAAGCTCCGCTGTCCACATAAAATGTTTACCATTCACCTGAAGAGGAAAAATCATCCTGCATTTTCTGATAAATAATTGAGAATGGCTTGGTGAAGTTTGACAATCTCACTCAGGTTTCAACACTGGCTGAGTGTTGAATTCGCCGCACGTATGATATGAAGCGTTGTTGGTTCAATGTAGAAAAACGGTTCAATACGCTCAAGTTTTGACGCAGAGCGAACGAACCATCGGCTTTTATATATATAAAAGCCGATGATATACACATCCCGTAGGAACACAGCTTTACCCATTTTTTTTTTGAATTTGCAATATTTGCCTCTCTTTCTCTCGTTTTGTAGTAAACGATATTGCGACTAACGATGGAGCAGGCCTACTTATAAGCAATTTATACGCTTAGGCTTTGAAGACTTAATCCAAGCTACTTAATATTATAAATGCGAAAGTAACTCTGTCTGGCTGTCTTTTCTTCACGCCTAAACTACTGAACCTATTTGTGTAAAATTTAGTACAGGCATAGTTTGGAACTTGAGAAAGGACAGGATAGTTTTTAAACCAATAATCGGTAGAAACAATTCCACTGACCAGACATGTCATAATCGCTCTATATTTTTTTCTCAATCTCAGCTTTCTGCTAAGCGCGTTTAATTATGCATACATTTATATTCTCACACATATGTGTGTTGCAAGCATAAAATATTTTTATATTTCAAATAATCGATACCACTAAATACTAAAGTATCTTGTTAGCTCTATTCTAGTTATATACGTTACATACTAATGAACTTGTATTTTGTATTCAACATCATAATCGCGTGGAAAACGATCGACAATAATAACTTTTACTAGCAAACATTGCGTTTGGCGTACGAATACTTATGGATATTCTCTCATTCGAAATTCTGAGACATTCACGTAAGATAATCGTAAATACTAACTAACACATCGAGGTATAAATCAAACCCTCAGATTTTTAAAATACGAGAGATGATCTCCGACCACCAAGCGCGGGTCTGCAGCCGAGTAAGTGTAACTCGCTGCCCGACCAGAACCGGACCCGAGCGTACGGCGCGTAGCGTTCCGCGCGCGCCTCAAAGAGCCATTAGACCACCACAGACGGGGCCCAATAGGGCTGATGTTCAGCCGGGGCTGCGGGGTAAGCGCAATGAGGCACCTCGACCTTGGCCCAGATCAGGAGAAGGAACGGGGTGGTTTTTAGGCAGTAAGAGTCGCGACTAGCGTACGCACGATTTTAGAGTACAAGTAGGGGGACGAAAATTGTTGCCAATATTGAAAGACATAGCTTCCATATCCCTAAATAAATGGGCTGATAGCTTAGGAAGATAAAGCAATGAATATCTAGATTAATAATAAACATTTATAATTCCCGACCAAATGATAAATCTGATCATATCTTAGGCAATAACAACCATCTGGGCCTTTCTAAATGGTGTTTATTAACTTCATTATTCAATTGTACATCAATGTTATCTAGGGATATTATTTGTAAAAGGGATGTCTCCTGGGTTGAAACAACAAAATTCTAATTAGTCTGTCAGTTAGATTATAGAAAAATACTCGATACGTATTTTTTTTTTATTTGTCCATACGAATAATATTGGCAAAGATACAGCACGTTCAAATTCAGGAACAGGGGCTCGTGACGTCACTCTTTCGTAAAAAAATTACGAAATAATGACGTAGCGCGGACTTTCGTCGTTCTGTAACTTTGTTATTTTAAGTTTTAGAAGCAAAAGAAAAAATACGTATCTACTATTTTCTGGCGTTCTAAAAGATGGACTAGGTAATTATTATTTTTTAGCCGTCATCATCAGAGTAACTACGAGTGCGTTGCCGGCCTCTTATTATTAGGTATTTAAGGATTTGAGGATTGAGAATGGAAGAGCGCCTCCGGTAACCGCACTCAAACGGCGAAACACAACGCTGTAATTGTTTACGTCAGTTGTCTGTGAGGCCGTGGTATCACTCTAGTCGAGCCGACCCATTCGTGCTGAAGCATGGCTCTCCCACACTTTCCGCTACTCTCGAAATATATTTGTGGTACAAGCCCAAAACAAACAGGGATGGCCCAAATGGAAAAAAAAAACAAATGACAAACAGGTGTAATTATATACGCACACGCTACGCACGCGTTAATTAATATCAGTACGTATGTTATCATAATTGCTTTATAATGACTGCAGTGCAGCAACAAAACAACTATTTGAATGAGTTATTCCATTATCTGGAAGCATTATTTGATTTCAAATGGATACCTAACTGATTAGCTCCCATTTGCTGCTCCAATGATAACAATTGACAATGTGCGGTCCAAGATGTCCCTCCAAAACACGACAATTAGTAGAAGAAGATATTTTTACAATCAGCCCATTACTTAAAAGATTTTGGTGTACAAATAAGGAAAGAGACGAACAAACAAAAATTCTTGAGTTTAGATAAGGAATCCGTTGTGATAATAGAGTGGTTGCGTGTAAGGAATGGACTTTAATATTTTTGTCCAACTGTAGAACTTGAGCGGACGATGTGTAGAATGCTTGGCGTAAACGAGCGGGGTCACTCCACATTCTGTTTAAAATTATGATATCTTCATCCAAGAACAAAATATATACCAGTTATTTACTTCTTTAGTACTTTTTTCGTATTTCGTAGGTGATCTACTATACTATGATAGAAATTCCAAAGTACCTAAGTCCTGGCCATTTGGCCTCAAAAGATTTTCCAGTTCAAACCGCCCGCCATTTAATGTGATTGCTATTAGCTACGTAATTAAACAATAAACATTTTAGTGACCAGTAAGTGGAATTACTAAACTATACACTGTGTGCTTTGTAACACTAAACACTTTTAAAAAGTAATCAATCAATATTCATGGCCGAAACATTACACACTAAGTGTTTCCAAGTACGAAGAATATAGGATTACATAACTGACTAAACGAAAACAACCCTTATTTCCACGTAATAAGGACGTCGTCATGGTCAAACTGTCACCCTAGACTAGGTGGACTGTATTTTTGGATAATTAACGGACATTATGAGCCTGTCCCATGGGTCGTAAAAGTGGACATCCTATTGCCTTGTTGCGTCAACAATGTCATTTTTTTGACGAGGGAACTATCAGTTAGTTTTAAGCGAAATGAGCACTAAAGACGAACACTTAAGGTCATTATTAGATTAACGATGTTGCTTGAAGACAACAGAAAATTTAAGGCTGTTGTAATGAGGTTGTCAGTATTAGATTAATGGGCTGTTCCCGTCCAACTCAGTGGCCACTCCTTATCTATACTATAATTTACGGCAAGTACCCAAAACTATTTAGCTGTTTCAATCATTAGTGCAACGTAACTGCAGTCTTTACCAACAATTTGGACTGCTACCGTCGAACTCGCCTTTGTTTTACACTTTACAGTTTAGTTAGAGTCTCTACTGACCTTCTGTGAGCAATAATTATTGAAATTAAATATGTAATGTAAAGGCACAAAAAATGGCAAAATACTAAAGTCATAGGTGGAAACAGTAAATATTTAAGTGTGGGCGAACCATGCTTCGGCACGAATGGGTCGGCTCGACTGGAGTGATACTACGGCCTCACCGAAGCAACCACGACGTTGTGTTTCGTCGTGTGAGTACGGTTATCGCAGGTTCAATCTCTCCCCCTCCCCACATCTCTTTCCAATCTTTAAATATTGAAACTATTAGGCATAAAATGCCGACAACGCACTCGTAACTCCTTTGGTGTCGCAGGTGTCTATGGGCGGTGCCGATTGCTTACCATCAGGTCCTTCGGATCCTAGTTTGCCAACCTACCCCATAAAAATGAGAAGAAATGAACAAGGAACATTTGTTTTTGATAACGTACCGATAGCATACGCCGTGTAGATGATGGGACTGTCATCGGTGACGACGTCATCAAAGCATACAGCAGCCACCAGCCTCGGCTCAGCGAAGTCAGTGTTGAACATCATTTCCACGCAGTATGACGTAGGCTCGTGCCAAATCTGACCTCCTGGAGCCACCTCGTACAGTGTGCCATTCTACAAACAAAAGATTTCAATTTTAATATGCAACATTCAATTTATACTAATTATAAAGCTGAAGAATTTGATTGTTTGTATCCTCCTCTCTCTCTTGCGATGACAAAGACGACGACGACGACGATGAGTTGGATAGCATAGGAGAGAACTTATGCCTTAAGTGAATCCCACTTCTGACACCATGTAATACGATTGAAAGACTTGGATCTTGGATACTTGACTTTAATTAGATAGTACACAGTCCTGCAGCTCACTGCACCAGAGATACATTGTCAATGGCCGACACTTGCTCGGCCACCCTCTTTATAGTGATATGACGACATAGACAATAATAGTGCAACACTGATTAGTAATACTAATCATAGACAATACAACACGCGCTAATCTCCAAAGCTACTGGTTCGAATTGTATAATTATTTTTGTGTAAGTAACAAAATTACATGCATCGAGGAAGGCTTTAGGTTAGAAAACGTCACGCTACGATTTGTAGGAGCCGATCAGCGAATAAACCGCGCGACAGAAACTAGTTTATTATATTTTCTTATAATCCGCGTTGATCCAGCGTGGTGACTGCTCATTCCTTTTCCGTTTAATTAAAGGCCTTTTCTCAGCAAAGAAGCAATGAATTTATTGTTGCATATAGGCCGTATAACAGCATTTTTACACGTCCAAATTATATATAAAAAACTAGATGAAACAGGCAGTGGAAGTGTTATTGATGATAATGATGATGATCAAACAACAAACCAAAACTTATGGTAAACTTATGCTGCTGCTCGTACTTATCCTACTGATCGTAGCGTGACGTTTTTATAGCCTATAGCTATCATTGATAAATGGACTAACAAACATTAGTATAGATTAGTCGGTCTTAGATATTCTTGTATGTCTGATAATATGCTGTCATTCCACTACAGTTTAACTAGCAAAAAGTATTCTGGTAGACCACAGTTAACCTTCGGTGACGTGTGGATTAAAAGCCTCGGTTCCATGTTTACGTAATCAAAGCTTGAGGCTTGTGTGTGTATACTATGTATACATAGGTAGAAGGGGTAGTACTGTTTGATTTACAGCGCGCCCACACATGACCGCGCTGATATATGCCCACCGATACATTTCTCGTAAAAGTATATTTTAAAATATTATCAGAACAGAATCGATCGTGTGAACGAAACGAAGGAACCCATTGTTGTCCCTTTTGTGTATTATTAATATTTTTAAACATAGACATTTTCAGAATTCGGTACAATAGCGTCTGTTATTTTCTATTTGACTGCTCGGTTGGCTCAGTAGCTGGGCAACTGGCTGCTGTGCAACGTGTCGCAAGTTCAATTCCCGCACGGATGGTTGTTACAGGCCCCACCAAAACACATCCACGACGCAAGAGAAAATGCCAGGGCGGGGCAACGTCTTTTTTTCAAAAAAGATGCGTATATCAGTGTCAGTAATACAAATGCAGCAACATATAATTCATTTGAACTTAAAATTGATAATTCGACTGATGGTAACATATAATACCTATTGCCAATATCAAAATCAATCTTATAGTAAACTAGCTACCGCCCGCAGGTTCGGTCGCGTGGTATATTGATAAACAGTAGCCTATGTCTTATTCCGGGGTGTATCGTATGCCTGTGCCAAATTTCATCCAGATCCGTCTAGCCGTTTTGGCGTGATTGAGTAACAAACATCCAAACATCGTTAGTTTCGCATTTATAATATTAGTTAGAAGTAAGATGCATAGAACAAACAAGATTCTATCAAATAACTATGAAAGGCAAAACCGTTCGTTATGCGGTTTTATACTTATTAATTACATCGCAGCGTGGCGTGTGTGTTTTGTGTAATTGGAATTAATAGGGTCGTTAGGGAAGGGGTTGGACGTGACGTGAGCGATGATTAAAATTGCGTCAATCATCAAACTGCCATGAATCTACGAATGTTGATATTTTTTATGAAAACCAAATTTTTTCATTTACTTATTATGAGGCGAATTTCAGGGTGGTATACCCACGCCTTGGCTCGAATGGACCGCAGCAACAGGCGTGATACCAAGGCCTTGTGAGGAAACGAGGAAAGTCGCGGGCAAAAGCTAATATAAATCTGGGAGAGTCATGCTTCGACACGAATGGGCCACCTCGACCGGAGTCATACCACGGCCTTACAGAATACCGGCGTGAAGCAACACTTACGTTGTGTTTGGTCGTGTGAGGGAGGTTACCAGAAACCCAATTCTTTCCCCCTCCCCCCATCCTCAATCGTCAAATCCCCTATCCTTAAATCCGTGACCCACAAGAGGCCAACAACGCACTTGTAGTAAACTCCTTGTAATCCGTCTGCCAGTTTGCCGACCTTTGTCTTAAAACAAAATATGTGTATTAGGTCCCAGTTTGTCGCAATCGACATAATATATCATGGATTCACGTCGAGCGAAATCGAGTAAGAACCACGTACTATCCTGGGACGTCCAGATAAATTGACTCTGCTGTCAATATCTAAGGTTTCCGAGGTGTACGATAGCATGATCAATGATACTAAGTAATACTGTTACTACCGTGTGTCGATGTTCCCTGAACGGCTCGGATTAATAGCTTCTCGAAGGTATAAATTGGTTGCAAATAATATCGCCTTAGAAGGGCAGTTTCTCCACAAAATATTAAGTGTGGGAGAGCCATGTTTCGGCACGAATGGGTCGGCTCGACCGGAGTGATGCTACGGCCTCACAGAAAATCGGCGTGAAATAACCACAGAGATGTGTTTCGCCGTGTGAGTGAGGTTATCGGAGGCCCAATCCTTTCCTTTCTCAAAATCTTCAAATCCCTAATCCCCAAAAGATCGGCAACGCACTCGTAACTCCTCCGTCGTGTCCATGGGCGACGCTGATTGCTTACCATCAGGTAATCCGTTTGCTCGTTTGTCGATCTATAACATAAAAAAATTGATATGTGTAGGTGTACTTAGGTATGTTGTACCAGCTTTTGGTTGATTATTTTTATTTATTTATTTATACTTTTTGCATAATGTACAATGACGCCTTAGGCATTCTCTACCAGTCTACCTTTGGGTGATGTAGATTTGAGTGATCGTCTGATTTCAGTACAAGGGCTTGCTACCCTCCTTCAGTTCCTGTCATTGCAAGGCTTTTTGTGTATTTGTGGGAGCATAATTATTGTAAATTTGTTTGTCTGAACTCGCTAATCTCCGAAACTACTGGTTCGAACTGAACAATTCTTTTTGTGTTTATTAGTCCATTTATCGAGGAAGGCTATAAAACATCGCGCTATGGTATGTAGGAGTCGAGCATCGGGTGATAACGCGGGTAAGTAAGTTTAAAATAATTTATTGCTTAATTTATCGTCTAGGTATTAGGTTATCACTTATTTTATCCAATTAGAACCAGAGAATTTTAAGTAGGTACTTACTGTACAAATCGTAGGAGAAAGAAAAGTATAATACCTATATTTCATAAATATTTACTAAAGGAAAAACTTTTACAGAACTGCTATTAACAGTTGGTAGACACAAATAAAACTTTATTATAACGTCTCTAAAGACTAATATGCAATGAAAAGCTTACAGCCATGCTACTGCAATGAGGTGGATTTCAGTAGTTTTGCGACATATAATGCACAAATATCTCTCATACTAATGAACGGATTATATTATTGTGAAGTACCTAAGTACAGTAAACAATTTAAATAAGTTTAATTTTTAATAGAAAATTTTATATTTTTAAATATCATCCGGCGGCAAACGAGCCGACGGGTTTTGGGGATATTATGGGGTTTTGCGGATCATAATATGTCGCGAAAATTAACCTATTTAGCAGCCAGATTCGAAGGTCACAACGATAACACATTCTCACTATATGTATATTTTCTTCTCTTATACATGTATAAAAATTAAATGATGTTCGTTAGTCTCGCTAAAACTCGAGAAAGGCTGGACCGACGTGGCTTATTTGCAGTCTTGAAATATTCCTGGATATAAGTACAGGGGAAGGTCAGAAATATGACTAAGTTAATTATAAAAAAAGAATTTTGCAAATCGCTCCAGGCGTCTTCGAGTAATCGGTGTACATACATAAAAAAAATACGCGTCGAATTGAGAACCTCCTCCTTTTCTGAAGTCGGTTAAAAAAACAAAATTTAGGCGGTACGAAGTTTGCCGAGTCAGCAAGTGTGTGTATAGGTATAAAAATATCAAGAATTTGACTTTCATCCTACTAAAACATATTCTAGTACAACGGAACCAAGAAAAATATTAAAAAATAAAAGGCAATTATTAAAATTTCTGTGCTCTACTCACATAAAAGATGGTACTTATTTTGCAACGAAAAAAAAAATATACAAAAATACAATTTGCAAACAAAAGAGGATATTAGAGTCGCCTTTAACTTGGGGCTAATAACTGCTTAACTTAAGAGAGTCTAATATGAAATAACATACATACAGAGAGACATACTTTTTACTCAGTATGTTACCTATATATGTATATTATATAAACATAATATAACATACTGTATGAAAATATTCATAAGTATTACTAGCTTTTGCCCGCACTCCGTTCGCGTGAAATAGTGACTTCCTGCAGATTTTTTGTAGAAAAACTTTTATTTTGTTTCGAGTTCCAAACTATACCTATCTGTACCAAATTTCACAATAATCGGTTCTGTAGTTTAGGCGTGAAGAAGAGACAGATTGACAGAGTTACTTTCGCATTTATAATATTAGTATAGATATAGATATAGATTTTCTGACCAAAACTCTTATAAGAACAGTTTATTTATTTCTAAATAACTCTGAATAAAGCCCTTTTGTTAAAAATAAATGTATTCACAAAATCGCTCTGAATTAAAGTTGTCCTTCATGACGCCCTCGTCTAAAGGATTTTCTGTCTAGGCTTATACAAACATTCGTTTATTTACAAAGAGAGTAAAGCTCAAATTCGTAATAAAAGGGATGCTATTTTTCTGTATCAATGATAATGGTAGACCAAC